CAAAAACATACTTTCTCTTATCATTCTCTTGATCCATTTGCAGTTTTGCATATAAACAATATGGAAGTGATGTGCAATCGTTTGAAAGATTGTTTGTATCCTTATTATGAATTACAGCGCTTTATGCTACAAAGCCTTATACACGTATTTCTATATTGCATTTACGTTCACTATATACCTGAAAAATATATTTAGAACCTTGAGAACCTTTTTGAACATGCAAAAATATACCCTTCATTGTGATTTTCTTCCAGTGTAGTATAACACTTTTATTAAAAATCATCTGTTTTTTCAACGCTGCGTACAAGGTCATTGATAAATTGCTATCTACGGACAATGATATGCTGCTAATATAAAGTGTCCAACTGCACATAACTCTATCCCTAAAACCATCATTTAGAAATTGGGTCATAGCCGTTTATTCGTTAGGCACTCCAACACTTCGTTATTACCAAAATTATATTAGTGAATGACATGTTTTTAAAGACCAAGACACTCTAAGAACGACTGGTCTTTCACCTTGATTTTGACTGATTGTTCCAGAGTTAATTAAGAGAAGAGTTGCTCCATGATAGAAGAATCCTTTCGTTTAAAAATACTTGCGATTACATTTTACTCAACAACGTTCATGAAACTATACCTATTTCTCTGCTAAAATGTCCAACCATTTGAGGGCGAATGCACCGATCAGTAGTTCGTTCTGTCCTGCTTTATGGCCAGAAGAAGTGAAACTTAGAAGCGAATAATATGCCAAGGTTACGTACTTTGCCATAGGTATTTCCATAGCATGACTCTTGTATGGGGAACCACAATGTAAGCAATGCTGAGGTTAAGCTTAGAGTATTTGATGATCAAATATGGTTGGTCGAACGGACACTTAGACAGCCTTGAACTGTATTACGAACGTCTGGCCAGTACATGTTTTTACATGCACTGCTAAGTGAGGGAAGATGAATTTGAAACAAACGTTACAACGGTTAGACACGACACTAATTCATAAAATTTCTGGCTGTTAATTTTAGATGTGTAAAGAAGTGTAGAATTCTTGCTTAAAGTTCTCACAACGTTATGAACCTGTGGTTGCAAAATCCTGATGAAATAGCTCACCACAGACCTCGGTAACACAGATTCATCACTCTTCTGTCATTTTCAGAACTCTAAGCCTCATCTGTCCTCATGTATTTTACTCCCACGTTTCCCTCCATACACTACAATAGAAGAAAAACACTTAAATTCGAATAACTCGACATTGTTTTTCAACAAAGTAATCAAAACATCATTTTGAAAACATGATAACGTCATTTTATTCCTTAACTTCTCTTCAGCTATGAACAATGTTGTAGAAAAATCGTAAGAGGTGAATCGAAAAAATCCGATTAACATACTTCGCATGCTAAGATATTTGTGTGCCCAGCTCACCATTTATGTGTCCAAGCGTAGATTTACAGAGAAAGGAATTAAATAAAGCATATGTAATATTAGATTAAGATTGGATTTACTGTATTTGTATAGTCATGAATAATTAACGTTCTAGAATAAGTGAGAAAAGCTGAAAACTGTGATACAATTACTTAGTGGTGTGAAGATTCTCGAGGTTAGCATGGTTTGTGAGTGAAGAGTCAGATAATCATAATTCCTCAACATAAAAATGTTCAGGAAGGGTTATAAGAAAAGAAGAACACTATGTTAACAAAGTTAAGCTAATGCTTGGAGATGGATAGTGATTCAAAGCGGATAACTGCAAAAAGACAGGGAAGAGGCAGTGAAGAAACGAATCACCAAAGAACGCAGACGAATCAGAAAATAGCTGGTCAACGGTTAAACTTAATATGAACTCAAACCTCCTGAATGACGTTTAACAATTGTGTACGGTCAAGAGAAAGTGCACAAGCTTGATGTTTCTATGCAACTGATTTTATCGATAATCAATTCTTTCTGTACAAACTAGTATATGGGATGGCACAAAATTCAGATAAGGTTCGTCGAAAGACGGTAAGACAATATTAAGGAAACTTCAGAATAGGCGGGAAAAAATCCAACGAACTAAACATAACAGGGTATCAAATGATGTATCTTCGCCAGTCATTAGTGTAATTTTCAAAGAAACAATAGATATCACGTGCAATTACATAAGCAACATGGCATACCTGGAGCAGAAATGAGACTTTGTTTGCTTATATACACCGAAGACAGTGCAATTTGACTTCAACAATATCTTATGCCAGTGAACTGATGCAGTAGCTATGAGTAGTACTGAGACACTCAGATTGGCAGATATATTTATAGCACCTTTTAAGAAGAAATTATCTTACTATCAGGAACCGATATAGCGATGTTTTACGCCAGAATTTTTGATGAGACTTTAATAGTCTGTGGTGGTTTGCACCAAACAAACGAGCTGTTGAACACTTTCAATAGTGGTTTATGATGCTGTGCGAAAGTAATTACCGTTGTAAATTCTTTGATGCGTACATGGAAAAGGAAGATGGTACAATTGAATGAGGCATTTGCCATAAAGAGAAAAACGTAGGGTGCATAATATTTAGACCAATACAGTTCCTACCATGTAAGCTTCAAGAAGAGCTTAATCAGAATACTCTGAAGAAATGCTACATGAGAAATTTAGGTAGGCTGAAGAATCCCTATGTGGAAGTCGATGCCCATTGAAGTTTATCCAGAAGTATACCAAATGTAGGAGAAAAAAAGCTCAGTCGAGTGCTCTAAGACTGGTTTTCAAAGAAGACTATATTTGCTGTGAGAATCAATATAATGGCTAGGAATGCAATGGCCCAGACATACCTAACCGTTAAATTGACGTTCATTTATCAAACTACTTCCTTCTTTGAGCAGTTCAAAGTTAACAGTTTTCGTGGTCTTATTACTCCGAACCGTGTTTGTTAATTCACGTGTGTTTGCAGAGGCAAGTACATCAGAAGAATAGAGTGATAGATGTCTACCAGGATCTCAGAGTATATTCCAGAAGCTCTGCGCTTTATCGGTCAAAAGTTGTTCAGTTGCATAATAAACCGCCTAGTTGATAGAGCGCTGGGCCAGTAACTCGGAGGTCACTGGTCCGAATGCTGACGTGAACCAAGTTTTCATGTCACTATCAGTTATCACCCAGTTTCAAAACCATTATTGTTTTAAAAATGCTTCTTCTCCTTCTTCACCTATTCATGATATTGAACTCAAGAGTTTTCTTACCATTATGTAGCAATATCACAGTTGTAATCTTTCCTCGCTCACCCTAGAACGTTTGTCACCTATTCCTATCAAGTGCATTATTCTAAATATTTATACTAAGGCATGTAGATACTGAGTTGGGTACACAAAGATCTTATATGTGACACATGTTCGTTATATTTTTTCTATTCAGTTGTTACGATTTTCGTAGGACGTTATTTGTAGCTGGAATGGCTTTAGGAAATAAAATGAAATAATTCCTAAGGCCACTCTAGCAACTACTCAAATGACCTATTGAGTTTCTTTATTACGTGTAAAAACTAGATTTTCAGATGAAATAGCCATCCTAATTCGTTATTTCAGTATTTACTTGAGTGGCCCCTAAAGTCACTTAACAAAATGGTTTTATCTTATTTTACATTTATCAAGGGTGCGAAATACATGAAAAATTATTTTATTTCACCATCCCCTTGCCAATTGCTTACACTCTGTAACACTTAACTATCATGTACAAGAGAACTTGAATATATTCGCCGCAGGTAGATAAATCAACAAGTAAAAGATATAGTGTATTAAGAAATGTCAGTATTTGAATAAAACTGAAAAGTCATACCGAAAGGTTTTCCTTTTTTGTTATTGTTTACTTACCTCTAGCTAACTGTTTTCATCGCAATCAGCCTACTACGATAGGGCTGCAATTAAACCAGTAAGTCATTGGTCTAAACAAGCGTGTCTTTCAACCAGTAGTTACACCAATGAGTGTGACTTCTCGCAGAGAAAATAACTTTATGCAAAACTTCTTGAAGCACTTTAGTTGGTAGTGTAATTGGTCAAGTTCATCATGGTCGAACTCCCAATTTAGTTTGAAGGTTCGTAGGGATTGGTTGATTTCAAAGTGCTATTCATCAAAGACTGGCAGCAGTTGGAAAATTGTCTTGGGTTCGATCTCCGGCATGGTGCGTACTGCTGAAAAGTTCCATACTAGAAAGAAACAGCTCTCCAGTGCCTCTAGTTTCTCAACGATGTTCCAAGTGATTTCATTCCATGATGAATATCACATTAAGATGTATGATTAACTTACAGTCGAAAACTATATCAACCTAAAATGAATCGACTTATGAAAGCGAAGCAGAATGTGGCACAGTAATGCATCACTTCAAGTTGTCAAACTTACTGAAAGTATAACGTCAAGGAAAAAGCCAACAAGGTGTGTAAAATATTCAAGTACATTAGAAAAATATTTATGAATCGGCTTAAAACGAAGAATTTCTCAAGATGTAAATGATAATAATTTAAGGATTCACTTCTAGGACTATTTTAAAACGCTTTTTCTGATTAATTTCTCCTTTCGTTGATTTCTACACTCTTTGGGATTCTGCTTTACAGTAAACGAACTTATAGATTAACCACTGGACAAAATGACTTGCCTTTCCTCTAAAACTTTAAACCTGTTAGTAGTCGATTATTTACTAGTTTCATGATGCTTGTGATATGTGCTGTGAATGAAGCAGAGATCAACTACCAGTAGCTGTCTAATTGTTCAGGCTGCCAACAATTACACCTCATAATTATATAAGTTGGAGAAAGAAAATGATTACCTGAATCAAATGAACCAATCAGCACACAACCCTAAGTAGTAGTACTAGTATCCTATATATGTCCAAGTCGTTACACTTGACAATCAAAGAGGAAGCGAACAGAAAATGAACATAGACTGGAAAAAAAATTTTATATTGTCTCTTGAATGTTGTATACCTTGCCTCCATTAATATTAACTACTCTACAATTTATTTTTGGTTTTCAATACTTTATTTTAGATTGTAATGCCACCATTATCTGAATTTAGTGTTCTTCTTGAATGGGGTAACAAGAAAATGACTCAACATATACAAGGTACAATATACATTCATACAAAATATGAGGTGAGTTCAAGCCCTGAAGTATGTCTCTATTCTGCATGGTGACAGAAAGGGAGTGTAGATTCAATTATCATGCATCCTACTCTGAAAATGTAAATAAATTTTATTTTTCTAGTTGTACAATTTGATACAAATAAGTTTTTTGATTTATTCGGGTGTACTGGTGATGATGATTGATCAAATCCCAGTGAAGATCCAGTGTCCTTACAAAACGTTATGCATCATAAACTGACATCAGGTGGAGAGCTATTGGAAATGCAGAAGCACTGAACTTTGCCCGATTCATGAGTGCACACTACTGAGAAGTTCTATACTAAGATGACACGGCTATCCGGTGCTCGCAAGTTTTCAATATTTCTCCAAATGATATCAGTCCATGATGAATACCACCTTGAAATCAATCATTCACCCAAAACCTCCAAACAATGTCCTTAATTAGCGGTTTTCTAATCACGCGACCTCTAACATAAGCTTAATATTTCTTTTATCTGTTAGGTGTTCCTCTTAGTGCATTTTTCTATCATATTATAGGGAAATAAGGCTGTTAAAAGTAGACCTGTGTTAATTATTCAACTGGCAGTTTATTAACAGTTTACCATTAATAAAGATATTGATTGGTGACTCTCTTTACTTAATGCTACCTACTTAAACATGTGCTTATGAAGGTTACTTCTTCTTTTCTAGACTTTTAAAGGAGTGATTTAATTTCCCTAAACTGCATTATCGACTTCGGATACACAGTTAATATAGTATTGTATTGTCAGGTAAATATACTGGTAGAGTGTAGATTTGTCTACATACTCTGAATTTGAGAGTCGCAGCAGTCTGAATGGATAGATTGCTGACCTAGGATTCACCTAGGATTCAAAAAACAGGTAAATAAACGCCTTATCTACATCTAGATAGAAATATCATATACCTTTATTCTACTTACTTTCACTTGTCTTCATCTTATGGTTTTTGACCAGTTCCAGCAAAACGATATTTATTTCTGCCTTCCTTCTTGTGTACTCTACCTCAATACGGGTTGTACTCATTATTTTGCATCTGATACTAATACTTGGCTTATGATACTAAACAAAGATAAATGACTGAAGGTAGTCGATGCAAAAGCTTGCATATATGTTTTGTCCTTGTTGGCACACACCGACGAGTTATATCTGCAACGTGAAGAGAATTTTTACTTCCTCAGTGATTTGAACTGGTGTCATTCAACTCGGAAGTCGAAGACATTACCGTTGGGCTTTTCAAGCGCCAACTGGTTTGATGGATAGAATTTGGTTAGCGTCTAAGACTAGACTGTCAAAATGACTAGCATAAATGCTAAATACAGTTAAAAATCAATTATGTATGTTTGCATTAAAAGACACTTTTGAACTTATTGACTGCATAAATGACATAAATATCTAAGACAATGTATTCTTCTGATGTGAACGCTTTATTTACCAATACGCCTTTAACCAAGACTGTTGATATTCTTTGTGATTATATATCCTTGGATATTCTTTCATCCCCCATCCCTCCGAAATATTTGAAGGAGCTATTACTACTATGCACCGATAAGGTCCATTTCACTTTCAAGGGTCAACATTTTCCACCAGTTGATAGTGTTCCCATGGCTAGTCCTTTGGGACCACTGTTAGTTGATATCTATGTGTCACATGCAGAAGTTTTGGTTAGGGATATAATCAACAAAGCCCCACTGTACAGGAGATACGTTGATGATATCTTAGTTATAGATGGCAAGCATGAGGACGCGAAAAGTCTTTTAGGTCGACTAAATACCATACAAAGCCACATTGGTTCACCATGTGAAGCGGAAAATAATGATAAGCTTGCTTTTCTTGACGTATTACTAGCCAGAAGGGAAGATAGGTCAATGAAAGGATCAGTGTACAGAAAACCTACGTGAACCAAACAGTACCCAAACTTTCATAGTTTCTGTCCATTACAGTACAGACGAGATTTAGCAAAATGCTTATTCAGAGAAACCGAACGTATCTGCACAACAGATACATTAGAAGAAATCGAATGCTAGACAGGGACACTCATGGAAAACATATATCCCCTGAAGTCCATCTGTCGTTATAAAAACCTCCCAACCGTCCGAACTAATCAGTATTCTGTCTCAAAGGAGAACGTTTACATCATGCTACCATGTAAGGGGGAATCAAACAGCATGATCTTAAAACGAAGGCTTATTCGGTTACTAAAGAAGGATACTATGCAGCCAACCTCAACATTATGGAGAAAACGAAATCTATGCTTCGAATTAAGCCCCATCACTACATAGATGATTACATCACTTTCTGCAATGTACACCGATTTACATATGTTTACTATGAGTTTGTGGAGAAGTAATCGAACTATGAAGTCGAGGGCGACATACCGTATCCCTAAATGGCTAGAAAAAAACTACATTCAAATAATCCGATAAATAAAAGAGGCAGACAGATATCATCCTCGATAGGTAAACACATTATAAAAACAGGTCACAGGATTAGCCTTCAAAACAGCCTTTGTAGGAGCCATCAATACTGTATACTTAAGTTCATCGAACCCTTAGTCATACAAAAGTTCAAACCCCTTGGTGTATTCAAAATCAATTTGTCCTCACCGTTAACCTCCCTTGGTAATCTTTATTTTATTTTAATGGCAAGGGAGGTGTGAAACTGTACCACTCACCCTTATTATCCCTATATTTTCTAAATCTTGTATTATCGTAATCTATTTATTTTACCCCACCCTATTTTCTCCTTCATATAAAATGCCTTAACAAATAAATGTTTATACTGGGTGGTGATTGAAGGTGGTCGCTGGTTCGAATCCGACCTAGGTCCAGATTTTCATCTCACCTTCAATCATCACCTAGTATAAATACTAGTCTGCCAAACTACGGCTATCTCAGATAGTCAAATGATAAAATAAATGTTTGACCAGATTGTGTGAAATGTATTACGTAAATACATCACGTTTCTCAAATTACCTCCCTCCCCTTACTACATTAAGACTAGGTAACATGACAGTGATTATCATCAGTGTGAAATGGAATTCCAATCCATAAGGTCATTGATTGATAGTCGATTGTTTGAGCTAATCAGTCACAACTGACTTTTCCCTGTTATTCTCAAACGTGAAATTATAAAATTATTCACTGTAAGTAATGCATAATATCTGCGCACCGTGTTATTTGTCCTGTGGAAAAATTGTGTTCATGAAAAAGGTAGCAAGAAAGCACAACGGATAATAAATGAATTACCTGAAATATTTTTTTTAAAATTTACTGTTATATATTCTGAGAGGATATAATACGCACCGTTGACTGATAGCTAACTTCGTACGCAAGATCCGTCAACTCCAACCCGAACGAAATAAAGAAAAAGACTGAACGGGATCGGAGAGTTGATTCCTCCGAGAAGAATAGTGAATTAGCCCAAAAACATGTATGTATAAATACACATAAGATAAGACTGTCAAAAATAGCGACATTAACATAGTACAAGTACGCATTAACCAGTCAACGAATTATCTTTAAAATGGGGACAGAAAATAAACTACTGGCCATGCCGTAAAAATGGTGCGAAAACAACAATTTAAAAATGTTTAGATTGAGAAACAATGCTTTATGCAAATCTTTTTGAAAAAGAAAACATTACTACCTTCGCCTTTTTGGTCCAGTTGGAAACGTACTACTTTAGACCACTTCTTATCCGTCCATCTTCTGGGTTGAAACTCTTTGTTGAAATAGGTTTCGGGTTCTTTCGGAGTCGTTGGTAATTTAAGCATATCCATTAGGATATCGAATAGTATAATCGAACTCTCTAGTCGGTTGGTTTTTCCGCGACGCAGCTGATTCTTGTGTCTCGTCCATTTCTCCTGATCCACTTTTATGTCGTACATCACACTCCCACGTCTTCCAATGACAATACCTTACGTCCACATCCCATGTCCTGGTCTATAATCTCGTACGTAGATGTGGTCTCCCTTGTTGAATTGTGATCCGATTGTTTGCGTTGTTTGTGCATGATGTGATGGAAACATTGAGTGGTGTGGGGTACGTATCTTCATTTTCATTAAGACCTCTCCTGGAGATTTGCAATCTGGTGGGGCATCACTTGGTGTTGAGCGACAGATGAATAAAAACTATTGTATGACATCCGTATCACCCCCCCTTCCTCTTTCTGCCTTGAGTAAGGATCTCTTAAACGTATCCACAAATGTTTCTGCCTGACCATTGAAATACGGATGATACCGGTGGTAAGGCTGTTGATTTTCAGACTCTTTTGTTGAAAATACGTGTCTCTTTCTCATTATGAAAAAATCGTGAAAGCGATATCTTTACATACTGCAGGTTTGCTCCCTGCCAATCACTTATACATACATAACAAAAGAGATTATTCAATAACAACGCACTGTTATGCATTGTTTCGTATCAGCTTACCGTATTTTCTATGAACTGAATTTTCATATATTTATCGCATCGTGAAAGTAATTGCAACACACGTTAGTAGTCGTGTTTTTCTATTGTTATCGTTGTTGTTTTTGCATTTCTCGCTGTTTAGGAATTCAGTGGTACCACCCATTAATTGCCACTGATTAGTATGAAGTGATTTGCTTACCATATGATTACAGTGTATTTCTCATTTTAATTAACTAATCTTTCCAAGTGCGTTTCATTCCTGTGTAGCATCATCATCATCATCATCTTCACATGATTACGTTAAAGACAAAAAATGAGTACAGTAAACTAGATCGTGCTGATGAAGTGAAACTTCTTTGTAAAATAAAACGGCTAGCAATAGCATAAAAGCCTTTATATGTAAACAAGTTCATGCATGCATGAATAAAAAACTTCGTATTTTATGTGCGTATGTGTGTGTATGGGTAAGTTTATCTGAAATGATTCTCTTAAAGTCAAATAAAGGTATACACATATCTGCATGTCTTAAACCTGACTGACAGCTGCTACTTTGAGGTGGTGGTTAAGCTTGCATATCACGAGTTACATTAAATCGAACGCTTATTCTTTGAAAGATCTGTTGAATAATGGTAAGACAAAAAGTAGATATCGTCATAGTAAAAATAATTTACGCTATGGTAGGGGTCTCAGGACGTATTTAGACTGCTGGTTGGCTGGGGTGTAACAACAGTCAGGTGTTTCTCATGGATGTCCAGCAGTAACATGCTTAAACTGCCTTCCCTACAGGAGGAAGGAGGGGTTAAGTGAGGTTGACCTCAAAAAGAGCACAATTCTCTTGACTTTAAAGTATTCCCTGTTCTGTGCTTACTGTTGTGAAGTGAGATAACTTGAACTGATGCACTTTTGTACGATGTTCTGTCTGCATATTTTTAAACTTTGTACAGCATTCTGCACTGTGTGTATTTAGTACATTGGTTGTTAATGCTCATTTGTACTGTTGTATTGTCGGTTAAATAATTACCCGAAAATGATGCTCAGTTAAAATCAAAGGTCCATTCATTTAGCCACTGAAGTACTATGGATTAACAAGGTAACGAGAATAGATAAACAGTACGTTTTGCTGAACAACAGTGAGTTTCATTATTCAGATTAGAGTGATTAATACACTGAATAGTTGTTTCAACTCACTTCATCAGTAATTTGTTTTCAAGAGGATGAGTGAGTTCTTCAATGAATTCTTGGTTTTATAGGTATTACATTGTTGACTTGTAAACAATTTCGTTTGTTCGTTCAACCGCTCAGCTAACAAATCATGAGTTAGAACATCATGCTGTTTACCGAAATTAGAGTAATCATATAACAGGCGTTACTCAAAGCTCAGACCAGATATATACTGTTATCAAGGATATGGTGGAAATATGTGGATGACATCTTTCATGTGTTGAAGTTGGAACATACACCAATTTCATCACACATGTAAACTAACTTTTAAGTGAAACTCATTTCACGTACGAGGTGGGAATGTAAACCAATACATTCTAACAGATATCTAGACTTCAGGTTACCCTGTCTAATATCAGTAAAAACAGTCTTAATGAAGGGTTTAAATCATTGAGCTAGAAAGCCTACAAGTGATACATGCAGTGATATAGTTATATAGTGCGAATGTATAAACCAACTACACTAAAGGCTACTATATCTAGTTGGAAAAATAGTTTGAAAATCGAATCTTTGTTCATTGAGTCAAAACGTAATACATTCACTTTGGGAAGGCACAATATCTATTCCAGGGATTGTAACTACACTTTGGGTAACGGGTGACTGATTTACCATGTGAAATACACAAATTAAACTTTAGATTGTCATCAATGTAGCTGCTTAGATGTTACCTTCCTGTCAGATTCTACCTATCAATTGTTCAATACAGTCACTTGATTGAGTAACATAATTCGGTTCAATTTAGTTGACGTTAGTATTTTGGCACATTCATCAACAACTGCCTACGCTCGTTACTGAAGCTCAGATCAGATAGCCAGAATAATAAGAATATGCAACAAGGAACTCTGGCAACGAACCAACCAAGAACCTATCACCCAACAAATATACAGAAGGAAGTGGAGATGGATTGGGTATACACTGAGAAGGCCGACTGGGAACATCACGCGTCAGGCCAGGATATCGAGTGGAACCCTGACGGGAAGCGACGAGTTGGGCATCCCAGCTGAGGGTGACGTGGAGGAGGTGGTGCGAGGAGGAAATGAGAGGTTGTGGGCTGTCGTGGAGCCAGGTTGAAAAGATTTCAGAGAAGAGAGTGTAATGGAGACGTGCTACTGAATCCGTATGTTCCATTAGGAACCCAAGGGACAAATATTAATAAAATTATGGTATTTTGGAATCAGTTATAAGAATAACTGAACGAACATTCATATTGAATTGTCTCATATACTTTGTTAACGGGTGAAATATTATTTTCTCGCTAATATAGCTTTTTACTGTTCATTACTAAATTAAGTAATTGTTATTTTTCTCTTTGGAAAAATTGAAAATAATTTTTTAGATACTTCGACAAAACTTTGAATATTATGTAACACATGGCCGTGTAGTTGTAACACCTGATCCTCTAGTTGTGAATAATTTATTTCCTGTAAGCAAATTTATACATATATTCAATGAAAAGTGTTTATTACTTATTTCATATAGCCTAATTTTATTTTACTGTTCATTCATCTTTCATTTTAGTTGATATTGACCAACTAACAGTTTTTGATGTTAAGTCGAGATTGTAGAGGGAAAAAAGGGATTCACAGTTGTTAAGCTACTATTAAGCAGACCATGTTTGTTAGTTGGAAAATATTTCCTCACTCCCATTAGCCCAGAAAGGATGGGTTTTTTTCTCAACACGGCTAGTTTATCTGCATTATTGAACAATTAATGACTACAAGAAAAGTAAAATTACGCCTAGTTTGTAAATCCTACATACTAAGAATTAGTTTTTTGAGAAAAATAAAATGATTCCACCATGCATTTAATTTTACAACCACACACAAGTTCATATACTAGTCTATGAATCAATCTACTTTGTTTGAAAGCCAATCATACTACTTGACTGATTAGATTTTAGTTGAGTTTGAGATCAGACTGGCTGTACTCGTGACTGGAAGTAACATACCTAAATGAACATATAGTAACTGACGATTAGTTGAATGCAAGAACTGTTTACGTGATGATGATTATTCATATCCACATTTTTATTATTAATCGAAGTTTTAGAGCTGACTTAACTTGGCATTTGATAAGCTGTATATGTAATTTTCCGAATTTTTTGGAAGCTTCCTATTGATTTGGCCTTTGACTAAAGACTTTAAAAATAATCTTGAAAATTATTGCTTTTTTGAATAACCCAATGATAACAGTTTGCAGGATAAGAAGATTTTCTTCAGCTGGATGCAACTTTATATAGAGAGTTTTGAAATACCGATTGAATGTTTTAAACATCATGAAAATATATTATAGTTCAGGACACCTGAAATTTCTTTTTGTTCTGAAGATCTTATTTTCACTATTGATCGGAGTTTGCTAACGAACGTAGACATTATATATATATATATATATATATATATATATATATATATATATATATATATATAATGTGCTTCAGTTGAACAGGCGTTTCGTGTTTTACAAGCCCATCAGTTACCACCTTTTACAAGGCTGGAATAAATAAGTTCAACATGGTAGAGTTCATTTTCACATCAACTCAAATTACATATGACATCATACTGTCCATAGAATTGAAGTACTCTACAGTAAATTAAAAAAATGCACTATTGGCATCGTTTATTAGTCTAATCGTAACAGTAATGATGATAATAATAAATAACCTTTTGAGTAGAACTGATTATCGAATAATGAGTTGATTGAAACAGTTTCAGATATACCAGAGATTATCATTACATTGGAAGGTATAAACAGGTTGCAAATGTATAAACTAAGTACACTGACTTCTCATCAAACATTATTCTTGATACACACACCTACACATTTTGCTGGACATAGAACTCACCAATTGAATGAACTAAGATACCAGTTTCAGCATTCCATTGTATCTCACAGTGAATCCATATCGTTTCAAACTCTAAAGCCGTATTACTGTACTCCTGAATTATCAAATGTTTGGTCATAGAGACTAAGTTCCAACAGAGTTATAACTTTATAAACGATTAACAGTTTGTTTAATTATTTATTATTTCACGATGTGTATCACATAAAATTATTCCTACCAACTTTTTCCGCTTGATGCATTTCGTGCTTATAATTTTGTTTTGCTTTTCTTTTAAAAATTTTAGGGGAGAATTATCCACCGTAATATCATTGTTCAAAATACGTTTCCTACGAATATCAATATTACAAAAGTCCAACTACATCCTACTAGTACTTTTACGAATAATTTTTATGACACCTTTCCTAAAGATGTTGTTAAATTTCATAATAATAAACAAGAGATTACTGTTGATACGAACTTTACAGTTCATCCAACACAACCAATCAATTTCTCACCAAACCAATCTGTATTAATAGGGACGGTTTATTTTGATTTATCTGAGAGTTGCATAGGTCAATTTACCAGAACTACTGCTGCTACCACTACATCTACAACGACTACTGCTTCCCTTCAGCCTTTTAAACCGTATTGTTATTGTGGTTTCAGTCTGGATACGTCATTAGGTATGCAGAGACTATACATTTTGACTTTGTATTTTATTTTTGTCTTCAAAAACGCTAACTGCACTTTTTTTCTCATGGGCATTTCCTTTACACCGAGTTTGGTTGAAAAACGAATGAATAATAATACTATACATGATCGAATTTGCATTTTTCTGTATGTTATGGAACATAGACATACTTTTCGGGAGTGACTTTAAGTGTCACTCTAGCAACTAGTGAGGTAGCCAGTTAGAGTTCTGTATTTTATGCAAAAACTACCTTTTCAGTTAAATATAAAAGGTACCACTTGGTTATTTCAGTCATTGCTAGGATGACCTTTGAAGTCGTTCCTTATCGGGACTCATCACCTGAAAGTTACATTCAACTCTATTACTGAAAAGATATTATGATGGTGTCTGACTGTCACAACGATATACGAACTAGTATGTCTTGCTTTCACGTGCTTTAATTGACTAGTGTAAAGTATGAGTGACTTTAAAGGTCATCCTAATAATTACTGAGATAACCAATTGCATTCCTTTATTTTATGAATAACTACCTTCTCAGCCAAAATACCGAAAGCTGATTAGTTATTTTAGCAGTTGCTAGAGTGGTCTTTAGAGACACTCTAAAATATATAACTTTGATGTTTTCACGCCCTAAAAGCCACCTTAACGATTGTTACAACTAATTGAGGTTTTCCACTTAGCTTGAACAAGTAGTTTTTTCATAAAATATTGAAAGCTAATTGATTTGATTATTTAATTAGTTGCTATAGGGAGTCACTCCTGTCTATACGCCTCACTATCTAAAATCGCTGCTTTTGCTGTACTTTGTCAGTACCTGAGTCACTAACTTAACACAGATGAGATATTCGCAACCTTTCATCTATCGAGTTCCTTCAAAGGTGATGATACCAACTGAAATAACCAATTAAATTTCTTTACTTTATGAAAATCTGTTTTCCCAACAGAAATGATGAAACCTAATTATCTATTTCAGTCGTTGCCAGGGTGGCTTTTAGAATTACTCTATCAGTGTTTTTTCTCTTCCTCCTCACCGACTGTACTGCTCACTGTCTTTGTATTTTCATAATGAGTCTCCTATGTTTACAATTGAGTTACCTGTCTGTTACGCATTATAATTCACAAAAATGAAATAACTGATTTTATATATAGAAATTGAAACAATGCTGCTCAATAGTCGATTTCACTTAACATGATTCGTACGGAATTGGATAAGGAGTCAGTGCAAGCTCCTGAACTGAATTATACAATGAAATAAGGCTAAAATGAAATGTCTTTTAACATAAATATTACTGCCAATAATCTTTGTCTTAGATGCGTATTAACATTTCTTCGGTTCATTATAGCGCTAACTTTTAAGGGAGTTCCGAGTAAATATATTTTGGCATTCAATGCCCTATACTCGAACTCAAACAGCAGTGTAAAGGCTTACGGAGTGGTCGTCCAAGTCAAAGATAACCAGTAGTATCCTTTCTGGATGTCCGCTGTTTCCATTCTTGTTGTTTAGTTTGTCATCAGTATACCGAAAAATGTGACTATGCTTACTTTCGAATTCTCCTAAATGGATTTATTGACAAATAAACCTTTGTTCGGCGTACAGTATGCAAACATATACGTTTTTTTGGTCAAATATGTTGACAAAATGTGGAGTTTTCTAATCATTTTTTCGTGTTTATCAAGTACTTTTTATTTTACAAATGCAAGATGATGTCGCTACAACTGGTCTTCCTAGAGTTGGTAGTTTAAGAATAGGGAGTGAAGCATTTAAAAGTTAAAGTTGAATGAATCGAAACATAAAATCAATCAGTGGTGCCCTTAGTTGTTTAGTGTGAATCTTGTAAGGAGTATAGACCACCTGGATGAGAGTCTTCAAGGCGTGAACTATCAGTGGTTAAGGACCCCTGGTAGCATAGCTTAAAGTTAATCCCAGTAGAACAGGTGTATTCATGCTTTACTGTTATCCAAAGTCTGAACACTGTCAATCTTCATTTGTTTGTTTTATTTACTGTCCTGTTTTCGCTATTGGTTGTTTCAATATGTTTTTATTTGTGTTGAATTTTTATGTGAGCTATTACCAGGTTCAAAAGATTGCAGAGAACAGAATGCACTGGAGATGTGCTACTGAAGCCCTATGTTCCACTAGGAACCCAAGGGACAAATAAAAATAGTAGTAATAATAGTGCGAAATGAGATAATCTGAATCGATGGACTTTTTTGTGAGGTTCTGATTTTACCGCATTATCTGTCCGACAATCATTGGTGAAGAGAGAGAAATAGAATGGTATCCTTTATCTGGATTGTTCAGTGTATAATGGTTCATGAATAACTGGAATTTAAACACTTCATTTTTCTGAACATTTCATATATCAACAAAAGTAATTTTTATTCTTGATACTCTGAAATCACTGTGAATTTAAGAAAAAGCCTACTAGCTCACATGTCTGCCTAAGGTTTTGTCATTTTGTGCGTGGTCTTTCAGGGATTCTCTTTGATATTACATGTTTGCTGGGGACTAGCAGTGGATTCGATGAGGTGTGTTTTCTCCTGATTAGTTGTTGGTTGAATGTACCTGCATCCTTGAGTACGAACGTACTACTACTGATGGCTTTCAGACTGATATAAACTTGCATTGAAAATCACCTTTATTTAAACCAGATATAAGATTTTTTCTGCGTAAAATTTCAAATAGCAATTGAAACAGTAGTGGTGTTTCTCATCTGTAAAATGTCTTGATTTGTTAATATATAGTCAATAAAGACCAAAAATGTCATGCATTTTAATTTTAGTGGTTTACATTTTCATTGTCTTAAGCAATGCTATGTATCAGACTCTCTCCCACTAACTACATTAGTCATTAGGACTGTTACCATGTCGCACCCTATTGTATGGTTGCGTGTTACCGCCATAGCTGAGTTCTTCTCTAGATTACTCATCTTAATAGGGTCTATCATCAGTGACTGAGTTAGGTTCCTATATTCTGCTGACCTGACTGGTCACAATCGACTAGAAGTTAGTCACTGAATCTCTGTTCATCGTTTCAACACCTAGCATGTGTAGTAGGAATGACTCAACACCCGATGCAATATATGTGGAAAATCCTACTACCAATCAAATCAAAAGAAGAGGAAGCAATGAAACTATTTAAAGTGAGAACAGGAATTTATGTGGTTACCTTGATATGAATTTGAGCAATAAATTCGGTTTAAGACGTCATCTAGTAAATGATAATGTATTACTGTGTGCTATGCCAGATAGACTAATCTAGTATAGAATCACGTTCTATCACGATGCCCAAATACTTTACTTACATTAGGTTTTTGGTTATTGGATGTAAAGTGCTACTTTCAGGGTTAGTGATGAGGCAATCTAAGAAGCGATTTCATTGTTAGTCCATGTAGCTCTTCAAAGATTTCGTTATTAAACCGGAAGTACACATTGAACGTACATCTGAAGAGTTCTTTCAGGTAATTGTTTGGTGATCAATGTCTAGATTTTGGAATTGAATGCAGCTACATAAGAATTAGTGACAGCCGGTCTATGCAGAAAAATTTCTTCAAAAGTACTATCCCAACACCTTTGACATATCATGAAAAGATTTTCATTTTTCTCCAGTTCACCCATTTAAGTTCGTTTATCTTTCAATAGAATGTGTCGATAACTACATTTCCTGTGGATGTGTTGAAGATAGCAATTTAAAGTTATCAATATCCCTTCTAGACATTGTCTAACTGAATCGTTCAAAAGTCTTGAGGATAGGATGATTGTGTGCAGCTAAAGCACTAGAAATGTACGAATTTAAGCTTCAAGTATGCGTTCAAAAGAAATATGTACAGCCGCTATTTTTCCTGTAGCCTTAAAACTGTCGCATAGTGCTTTTCGTTCAGAAAAAGAGATAAAGTTTTTGTGTTAGGTAATTCCGCGTATTTCGTGTCGTATTATTCCATTCTTATTCGCCAATACTTCGAAATTTTCTAGCAGTTTACTGTTACATAGCATTCGTACACTCACTTGCTAGACTTATCTTAACTGTTTGATTTACTTTGACGTTGGATCGTAAATTCCTCTTGGACTTTCTACCTTTTGAATTGTATATTCACGGGTGTACAACTTTCACAATGGGTTGCTGAAAAGATAATTATATTCTTTCCTGCCTTTAACTTCTTTTCATAAGGGTTTCACCGATGGAGGGTTGGTTGTCTGTGTCCCCCTGTATTTATCAGATTGTTTGAATGTAATTCCTTCTCCAACCAGTTAGAGATATTTTCTACCAAGCCTGACGTCATAGTTCAGTTACTCCTCCTAATGCATTTTTCCCCACTCACATATAAATTGGTAGATACAGGATTAATTTACTAAATTATTAAGCCTCATTACGCCACCCAGTTTTCCAGAGTGACGTGGAAAAACATTTTAAGGCAGAATCTAACGGTTGATAGTTAAAGGTCTTGAGAGTCACAGCTTTCCGTTTGATATTTCTAATCAGTCTTCTTCAATATTCTTAATCCGCTATTCTCGTCCAATCTACTAGCATTAAGATAAGACTTTGACATTGCAACACTTCGTATCAACACATGAAAAAACGGAAACATAGAGGAAATCTGTATTCAAAAGTCACAATAAATCATGAGAATGGAGAAAGTTGGGGTGAAAGAATAATAATTTTGGCATGACGATTAAGACCAAGGTAATGTGTGGATACATCTGCCCCATTGACATAGATTTTGACCCATATCGCAAAGAGTCTTCAACCTCTAGTTTCTCTTGTCACGTGGACCCAAACCATGAAGTTTACATTTTCCTTACACAGCTCAGACAAGCAGTTAGGGATTTCATAAACTTATGTTGTTTTAGTCTGACCACCTCGAGCTTTTTTCAACCTGAAATTACTTTAGCTAACATTGAGGGACGAAGCAGACGGCGATTAGGCATACATAACGCAGGTCCCAGCCACCTGAGTTGATGAAGGTTCATGACTTTATCGATTGACTTTCCTCTCCTAATTAAAACCTTCCCTCGACTTCTGCATTACTAACGTGTTGACGCCATGGCATGCGGCCTATACTACGAAAGCAACAGTGGTCAAATACTTGAAACCTTCTCATGTCCTCTCCTCTTAATGATCATGTTTCACACCCATTTAGTAAAACAAAGCGAACGCCAGAGCAGTACACTTAGTCTTTAGTAGGTGACCGGATATCACGCCGGTAGCGCCATAAGTAGCATGAGTTTGTGAAAGTCAGTCGGGCTGTATGGGTTTGCCAGCTGAATTTAAGACAATAAAAGCTAAATCTAAAACTTCCAAAAACTCCACGTGCAACCGCCAAGCAGTAGATATCTCCTAGGCTCTTCAGTCATGCATCACTATCATAAATACGATTGTTTCCAGGTACCACAAGCAGAAACAACCTTCCAAAGTGTGGGCAGAAACTTTATCAGAATTCAATTTCCTTCGGATGAAGTGTTTCGTTTTTGGACTGGTCTTTTCTTATCTGCACTTTTGATAAAGATAACAGCATTAGCATGGACTGCTGGCCATCCATGAGAAACACTCAGTCCAACAAGTAGCATAAGTTCGTTCTCAGACCCACACAATAGCCAAGGTTATTTACAGCAACCCGGTATCTGTTTTTTGTCTTACCACTATCCAATAGATCTTTCTGTTATAGTAGGGCCTCAAAGAATAGAAGTTCTTCCCAGGATAACTCGTTGGATCATTGGGATATTGAAGCTCATTCAAGTTAAAGTAGTAGTTATCTATTTGAAATCAGTAATGTTATAGCCAAGCTGCCTTTAGTTAGACGCTGAGGATGTTTTGTCATATACTCAATTGTTTCTGTCGGAATCCTCAAAAGAAATGAAGTTAAATAATTTAAAGCAACTGGTCAGATAATCTTCGTCTTCTCATTACGCTGTTTGAAGTTAAATAAGTTTCCGTACCTACTTGTTTACATGCTATTCACTTAATTTTTCCATCATATTTGTTCCTGTAATAAAAGTATGTATATAAGTGAAAAACTTGGGTACTGTGGTAGAATGTAGTTCCATATTAGATTTGTTTATTTGATATAAAGCGCACAGTTTCGTTATTGCTTGTTTAACGTACTTATTTCCCTGGATTTTTTTAGTTAAACAACACTGAACAAGATCAGTTCTACTTGTTTATCGGGTGTTTTTTCTCTTCCTTGTCCTATTTTTGGTTTACTCCCTTTCGTTCTTTTCTGTTTTTGTCAACCTACAGGAATGTTATGGTTAAGAGGTGAAGAGACTAGTCAGTCTGTCAGTGAAAACAACTACCAGTATCATATCAATCATATGTTAATCAAAGAAACATTTACATTGTATACTGAACTCTACAGATTGTGGTTAACTCACTTTAGTAACAAAAATACTTCCAATCATCCGACTAATAATAACAATGATAATAATATTCGTGGTCATGACAGTAAACGAATTTCAACCAGCTTAAGCTATGAATTATCGAATGAAAATGTTGTCTTTCATAGTGATATCTCCGTTCAGTTTACCTGGCCGAAATTAATTAACCCAGGAAAGCTTTCTGCTAGTTCATCAAAGAAAAACTTAACACCATGTATTGTGAAAGAATTTTCTTCATCAACAGTGTCGGTGAATCGTCAAATACAAATACCGATAATGTCATCAGGAACATCAAATTCATGGGATTGTATCTTTCAAATTGTCAATCCTCAGTCGACACTGAAACACTTATTTATTCAACCAATATTATGGAGTCAAGTACATAGTAGTTATGCTGCAAATAAAACGGAATTAAATGATTTGAAAAATTTAACCACAAATATTCTCCACGATACAAGTTTAACTGATTCAGTAAGTTGATTTATGTATCCCTATCTGTATGCTTGAGTATGGATGTATCGGAACTGCGCAACTGTTAATCATTCACAACAATATGATGTAAAATTAGTCGCACTAATTTTTCGATGAATTCCAATATATTAACATTTTGGTTTTCAATAAGTTTCTTTCGCATTTATCTGAATGAATGGATTTAGTTATTTGAGGTTACATGAAGAATTATCACTTAGGTGTTGGTTTACAGGATTGCACATTGTCTACATTCTTCGCCGATTAACAGAAGTAAGCATTTTTACCTATGAATTCTAAAGAAGCTATCTTTTAATTCGACTTCAAAAGCTCAGGTGACGTGGTGTTGTCAAATGGAGATGATGATAGAGTTTAGAATCCTCTACTGAACTTCTTAGCTGCAATTGTTGGCGTTTTGAATGTATTTTTTTTTACTTTCTGAGGATGATTTATAGAGTTTAAGACTAACCTGCACACTTACCTGTTTTGATGAGAGTTATACATAGGGTTTGTAAACTGTTTTACTGAGATAGCTAGTTACATTAGTCATAGTCTGCTAGTAGTGAGTCATATTATCGTATAAATATAGAAAGAAACACAGTTTATTACGCCAAGATATTTATTTATCCACTAAAAATGTTCTTGTCCACCATGATAGCATTCTGTATCATACTGTATGACTGTGACATATTAATATCACAAGGACTTGATCTCTGGTTTTTTTCGAAGCGTTCTTCAGCCATGATAGAACCGCCTATTAGAAAGTTTTATGGTTACAGTTAGCATATGGTGCAGATGAAATAGATCAGTCAGTGTCGTGCTGAACGCATATTTCTAACCATCACCTACTTCATCAGACTGTATTAACTGAATCAGTAGGATGAGAAAAGACTGGGTAACCTGAGAACAACCTAGCATCAATCTTCGAACCTACTGACCATTGATTTCAGTCCGACGTACAACTGTTGACGGTCAAGTTGGGCTTTACAATTCAGCAGAAACTTATGCTTAAAAATTTGTAGGGATACGATAGCATTGTAACACAACATTATATAGTTTTTATACTTTGTTAGTTGGGCGCAAAAATCTAATCCTTAGTAGAAAAAAACCAATAAAGCCTATCACTAGACAGATTGACAATGTCCACTGAAGCCACTAGTAATGAGCAACATAGCATAAGTTAACACAAGTGAGTTTATTCACATTAGACGAATTAATGATTCAACGCCCAATACTGGCGTGTTAATTAACATTATCCTTCCAAATGTCTTCAAAACTAATTTATCACTACTGTTACATTTATACTTCTTTCCTTTTTTCCCAATTAGTTATTCTCTACTAATTATGGAGAATTTTCTATTACACCTTATTCATGTTCATGTTGTAAATCTACGCGTATCTTCGATCGATTTTATCCTCCAAGTTATCTCCTTTCACCAGATGGTGGTGAACAATGTTTTCGCCTAACTTTTACACCTACTATCGATAGCTTATTATATTCAGCAAGTAAAAGAAATAAGGACAGTGTTCTGCGTAGTTTACTATTACTACGAAATAATTTAACATCGTTAGAGCCTATATGGTTAGAAGTTCATTTGAGTAGTATTGGCTTAGCTCTTGCCAAAGTGTCAACTTCAACTTCATCACAGTCATCAGGATATGTTGTATCAAGTGAAGCTGAGAAGAGACTTCATAATGTTTTGCCTAATTTTAATTTATACGTTCATACTGCATCCAGTAGTAGTAGCAGCAGTAACAGTGGTTCACAATCAGGAATCGATGAGAATTCATCTCCTCTATTAAAAATTGACCAAATTATCTATGAAACCGAATTTAATCTCCTTGGTTTATCAAATCCTACTAAAAATGCAAGTCAGCAAAATTTCCACAGATATCTACCGTTGAAATTTGAATTCACTGAAAAATCCATTGGACCATTCTGTAAGTATGATGTTTTTTTCTTTTTATGTATTGTTCAATTTACACCTGCATTGAGTGTTGTAATCGTAACTAAGGCTTATAGGTAGCAGTATTTATTACATCAATATTATTTACGTAAAACATTGACATTTGTAACCTAGAACTGAATCCGTATGCTTGGGCTGAGGAAAAAGGATGGTATTATGGAGCAGTACAATAATAAGCTTGACTCATTATTAATCGCATAAACTCAATTAGGGGTATATTAATGTCAAGGTAGTTTTCATCACGGAATGAAACCATTTTTAGAACCACTGAAAACCTGAGAGTACTGAACAGTGTTTCGTCTTGATGTGGGACTCTTCAGCAGTGCGCCATCCATGACCCCGCAAGGTATGAAAACCAGAACTATCAGGCCTGACAACGAAAACCATCCAGTATCATCAATGAACGTCCATCCTCACCCTCTACTTCGCTTACTTCATGGCTCCTAATGAGAACTTTGGCCTTGAAGTCATTCCTTTTGATGATCATATATAAGTACTTCAGATGAGTCGCAAACGAGGACGAAACAGCTATCCAATGCTTTCAGGTTCCCAGTTCTTATGTAACTGATGTCAACCCGTAATGAAAATTACCGCATAAATTGTTTAATCGTTTCTCAGTACCTCACACACTTTTCTTTCATTAGGACGTGTGTTCGAACTCTCCTTCAAATGTCAGTCAATCAAGTATCAACACAACGTGTGGCGCCTAGCTAGATACACTAACTTGCATATTCTTGTTCACTCATGTGTTATATTAGTCAGTTGCTTGTTCCTGCTATAAGCTTATTAATTTTAAATAATGCCAACTTTAATACTGACGTTATGAGTAAAAGAATCGAATTATTAGCGTACGGTAAAGAAACTTTCTTGCAATTGTTTTTCAAAATTCCATTGTTACAATAAGTTTTAGAAATAATGAATGTAGTTGAAAAACCAGGAACCACGACAGCATTTGAATAAGTGAGTTTAACGGAGCTATGGTTTATGAATTTCAACAGCCACCTTCCAACTAGTTATAGGCTTAAATCCTGTTGGATGACTATTTGCTACTCTGATGTGGTGGTCAAGTTTGTACTACGATGACCGACAACCTTTTCTAGTGTGAATACTAGTTCCCTTGAAATCCTACCATATAAGAAAGGTTTGTTTGATAGTGGTGAGACTAAAAGATATTACCACTAAAGTGTAACTAGCTGCGTTATGATGGGGATCCGAGGACGAAGTCTTACTGCTGGCTGACTAGGGTGCGACAACAGTAAGGTGTTTCCAACGGGTGACTAGCAGTCTAATGCTGCCTTCTTTATTTAAAGGATGGATTAGAAAAGGTCAGTTTTAAAAATAGCACACCCTTAGTTAACTTGGAGTATACAGACGATATTACCTTGCTATTTGAAGACGCTGACGAAGTACAGGTTCTTCTGGACCTGTTGAGCAAAAATTTGAGTACGTTTGGCATGTGTTTCGCTATCCCCTGTTAAGTGTAAGACTATACTCCAGGACTTCTATGCTGTCAGTACTCCCAGTTTAATGACAGAGAGTGAAGTCGTGGAATTTGTTAATCATTTCACCTACTTGGGAGGTTGCATCAGCCCGAACGAGTTGGTTGCTGACGAAATGTCAGCTGGGATACAGAAGACCCGTTTGGAACGTGCTAATTTGGGTCACCTTTGGCGCAGGGTGGCGAGATATCCGACTATCTATCAAAAGACGAGTATACTGCTCTGCGGTTAGTTCTGTCGTTTTGTACGGCTGTGAGACATGACCATTAAAAGAAAACATGAAGAGATCGAAGGTGTATTCGTAGCACTTCTCGTGTTTGACGGAATCACCGTATGAGCAATGTTGAAATCAGGCGTGGGTGTTAGGCAGTACATGCAAGTCGATTGTGGAGGTCGTGAACCTTCTTTGGCTAAGATGCTTTGGGCATATGTTACGCTCACCGAGCCACCACCTACCTCGATATGTCAAGCTGCAGGAAGTTGGATCATGTTGGGAGGCGGTTAAGGGTGGCAAGACCAAGACATGGCACCAGTGGATGAAGTCACTGACTGTTGATCTGAACCATATGAGAAGGTGTCGATTGCCTGAACGAGGTCCTCGGGGCTATGGGAATCGGTGACTGAAGAGTCCTTGAGATCCTCTAAAGCTTGATTAGTCACGCTAACGGTTATCTTCAAATTGTTTGTTCTCTCACACAACCTTGTCTACATTGACATCACTACCTGTTCTTTGTCTACTACTATGTATTATGGTAACTTGAACCGACATAATTGTGTGCCAGGCTATACGTTGACTTTGTCTGTTTGTATTTCTGTCTGAAGCCTTCTCATGCCCTCTCCTCTTAATGATCATATTTGACATGCATATAGTAGAACAGAGCGAAGAAGAGCGCCCTACACTCGGTCCTTAACAGACAACTGGATATCACGGCGGTGGCACCATAAGTAGCATGAGTTGTTTAAAGTGAGTCGGACCTTTTTCCCGTGCAGAGGTTTCGCTGGCCACTAACCTACCACTACCAACCAGGAGTGATCCTATTTCCCAGATAATTGAAGGAGTGAACGCGCTCAACTATTCGACTGCGTATTGTTTTCAGGGGCACTGCTGAAGACCAGTCACGGAGCAACAGTTTGCATGATGGTGATGAGAAACTCATTCCAAACATGCTGAAACTGCCACTGCAGGTCTTCAAAAGACTGTGTGTGTTTCCAGAGTATCCACGTAACAGTGCTATGTTATCTGCGTATTCTATATTTAGCAAGGATTCTCCAGTGATAAGGTCAATCTCTTAGAAGTGAGATTACGAGAGGGAGATAGAGAGAGAGAGAGACCTCCATAAGTATGTCTTTTAGTCACAGTTGTGTTGTTCATCACCAGCATGTTTACTGGTAGAAGTGGACGTCATACGACGTTGAATGCAGATCAGATGGGGTCAAGACCTCCCATGACCCAAAATGTGAGATAGGATGATTTTGACAGTTGACTTTGAACATGTTGCAGTGAATCACACCATTGATTATTTAGAGAGGATTTCAATGTTTTCACCCTTCCTTTTATGCCTTATTATAAGAACAGTGCAAGTGAATTAATTACCTATTAACAATAATTGCTTTTAAATACTGAAGGTGAATCTCCTAATATGGATGTAATGCGCCCTCTACGCTCCTCGTTAAAAAACCAACAAGATAGACAATGGAATAGCCATCATCATCATTATCATCATCACAATTATCAAACAACCTCTATTAATACTGAGGGTTTATTAGTAAATCTTTCATTACGAAGACGACTGGCCCTAATCAATACAGGACAGGTTACACTGAACATATTCAAGTTATATCTTTTGCCATCAGTGAAATATAGCGATAAAGGATGGGACAATTTGACAATCTCTAACACATCACCTACGCCTTCATCAGGGTCATCATTATCTTGGATGCATACGCATGCTTCATGTAGTTCATCTGGTTTCAGAGTTGATCCATGCATATTGCCTGGGATGATGAATGAGACGGATGTCCCTGAAAAGAATAACTCCACTTCTACTAAACTTTTACCCGGTCACCATCTTATTATTGAACTACGGCACTATCCAGATTTCACGCATACTTTTCTAACTGCAAATCTGATTATTCAGGTTTATCCATCAATTTCTGAATCCAATGTTATAAAATGGTCAAATATGCAACAATCGAATTATCAAGCAGATGATAATGATTCAATGTTTATTCAACTACCTAGCATTCCATTAGCGGCTAGTTTGAATGCAAACTTATTAGGTGCATGTCTTAACCTGCTGCCTAGACCACCGATTGAATCATTTCTATGGTAAGTAACCTATGCATCGATTGCTTTATTTATGACTGTTTTTCTTTCTAATTGTTCGCAAGCTTTATATATATATATATATATATATATATATATATATATATATATATATATACATTTCATCGAGAACCTATTCTGTGGCCTAGTTCCTAAGTGATAGTCTCTAGACCACTTTTTTTCTTCCCACTTAGCTACGGTAGACAACCGTTGAATAGGTTTACTTTCTGCGTAAATTACAGCAACCTAAAGTGATGGATTCTTCCATCCTAACTTACTGTGGAAGTGTAGTTTACTTTCTAAGGCATATAACTCGGTAGGAGACTCCCAGATTCATACTCTGTTTCACCTACTTTCATCTACGGAACCGGCTAATATAATCAACCTTCAAACATTAAGTGTGGTGGTCCATAGCCTAGAACATAATGGATATATTCTGTGATGGACCGAGTCAGTTGTGATGTTGGTCTACTGCGTTAATGACCGTCAAGCTAATCCATCTGAAGAATGGCATACTTTACGGTTAAGGTCCTAAGGATGATATGAACTAATAGTTAGGAGACCCTTTATATTAAATGAATTTATTTCCTTGATGCAAATGAATTCACTTTTTATTTTGTTTCGAAATATGGGACACTGTTTATTACTACACATCTTATATGCCTTATCTGTATTCTCATTGACTTAAGTATTTGACTTATGCGGTGAATTTTGGTTTCAAATCCCATCTCATTCACTCCGCCATGGGTAACGGATATCTCTCATGAAGGATGTAGGACCCGAAGCGTAGTTTGAATTTCATTGTCTGCATCATTTTTCTATTTTATGTCCCTCTTACGTTTTTCTTTTGATCATATTGTTCGTAGTTATGTCATCTAAAACCTAGATATTGTTGCGTCTCAAAAGTATGGATCCAGTTTGTCACAATATAGTAAAAAATTTCTTTTCTTCTCTTTGAGAGTCAATTTCTCACCAATTTTTAAGGTAAACCCCATAGTTTTCGTGTGAATATTAAAACTGATGTATAACATAATGATACACTATCGCTTTCATCAGCATTTGCGATCTAATGTAAATAAGGTGATTAATGATATTCATTTGGTATTGAATACAACATAATGTTATTTTTTGTTTGATACATATGCTATCGTTTTTTGTTGCTGTTTATTTGCTTGTTGTTTTCGTCCTTTTTTTTTTAGAAATTTAACAGTTTTCTCATGAATATATTTATAATGATGTTATTCCTTTTCTTTTGGTCAGTTTATTGTTTAGACATCGACAAAAGCATTCTTCTGTGTAAAATACAAATCACTTTTGTCTTTCTTCTCCTATTCAACTTGATAATAAATTAAATTATTAGAAGGGAAGTATTACATCATACTTTTTAAATTGAACTTGATTTCCTCATTGTCTTGTTGTATTTCCGAATATTTACAACTTGTAGTTGAATTCATTTACGCATGTATTCATTCCCGCTTATAAAATTAATTGGGAAACAATAATGATTGGAGCAGAACAATCTGAATCCTGTCAATTGCTTCCAAACAATCTGACATCCATCAAAGTGCATCGCGATTGTTAACCTCCTAGCTTGATGACCATATTGCAGTACGATCGATAGAATTCGGTCAGTACTCTAGGCTAGACAGGATGAAATTGGTTGTTTTTGAGGGACTAATCAATGTATCAATCTATTTTATTTTGCCAGTTCATTGTCAGCTGCTTACAGAATGATATAAAAATATCTAATAATGAGAGAAATTGTAAATTCTTCATGCTGTTGATGTAGTTAGTCGACAATATGGGATATAAGGGTTGGAATAAAGTTAGACATGTTACGAAGATTCACTCATGCGTCTTATTCAACTAGATGGTATAAGAAAACTTATATAGATAGCAACAAAGTGTTTTGACATTTAGAATAAAGGATTACGTAAAAAGATTAGAAGATAAATTATTTGATGAGTGACAGACAAATAAGATAATAATGATTACAATAATAATAATATAGTGAGTTTAACTCAATTGAAAAAGTGACCACCGCGATTTTGTATAAACAGAAAAAGGTTCCGCCAAAAGGTTATGTCATCAAACAAGAGAGAGAGTGAAAATTTAGGTTGTGACGACAAAGAAAGACTGATGGCTGCTTCTTATTGAACACGCAGTTTCGGCCGCAAATAGCATTAGAAATCTTTGGATGATTTGAATCACTGTATTTGTTGATCACTTTGAAGGATTTCAAGGTTTCTACTTCATGTTCTGTGTCTATAAGATGCCACGTAAAATTGAATCCAATCAAAAATGAAGCACCAGCAGAAGTGACACAGTCTCTCAGCTCAAAAATTTATTTAGCCAATTGAATAAGAACAAAGCATTTACCGTTTGTTATAATTCATATGAATTTCAATGATAAGTAAGCGTGTGATCAGATAGATCGAAATGCATAGCGCTACTATATTACACTTTTCAGATAAACTACGTCTTCTTGTTGTTTTGTTAAAATGCAATCTACCATATTGCTCAATTTTTACTCCTATATTAACTCTACTTATGTTCCAAAGATTCATTTGCTTACTTAGTCCAACATTGCACTGTTCTTTAACTAATATGACTTCATGCTAGGGCTTCAAAAACGTTCAAATTGCTTTATCATTTATACTCTCAAATTATTCCGTACTTCTGAAAAAATGATTCAGTAATTCGTATTAAAGTTAGAGAAGTATGGTTGTAAATGTATATTAATTCTTTTATTTCGGATACTGATACACTCCTTATTTAACTTATTCTTAAAATGGAATATTGAAACAAGCAGTCAACACATGGGTATTTTGTTAATATCCGAAAATGATTATGTTCATCAAACTACAACTCTCTTCTTACTAATGCTTGTTAATCAATGGTAAAAGTTTATCAATTATCTATTCTACAAGTGTTTTATGTTAATATGTCTCTTTTATGTCCTATCATTTCTTCCAATTTGTTAAATATTCTAAAATGTGACTTAATTCATTTTTGATTTCAAATGTGAATTTAACTGAAGAATTATAACTATTAGGTATTTTAGAAGTAGTATTCATCATGAATTGACATCAGTTGGGGAACCATTGAAAACTCGGGAGCACTGGATAGCTGTTTCGTCCTAGTATAGGACTCCTCAGCAGTACGCACCCATGACCCGGCTAGGGATTGAACGCGTTCACCGTGAAACATGAAGGTCTTGAGTTCGATCCGTAGTCTGGTCGTGGGTGCGTACTGCTGAGGAATCCCATACTAGGACGAAATAGCTGTCCAGTACTCCCGGGTTTTCAATGGTTCCCTAAACTGGTGTCAGTCCATGATGAATACTACTTCTAAATTTTAAAAAATCCCTATTCATCTCAAAAATATATTAGGTTTTTATCGAATTTAATGCAACTCATAGTCTCCTTGACAAATTACCAAAGTGTTGTCTACCTACTTTTTGTATACTAGAGATTCATTCATCCTTAGCTTGGAATCATTTTACACACTAAATTTAAAGCAATTTACGTGCATCATGACATAACTATTCCTTTTTTAAAATATTTCTATAGTTGATGTTTTTAAAAGTGAACTGTGTGTCGAACGTGATTATTAGTACCAATACCTATACAAGGTTGATTAGTGAGTATAATTTAGAAGCTGATGAACTCGAAAGTTGGACGAAAACAAAGGATTGGAAGTTCAACTAGCCTCTTTATGCGAATAGATAATAAAGTAATCGAAACATTGAAAGTTCATGAAAAAATAGGGTGACTCTTAAGGCCACTCTAGCAACTGATGAGACAGCCAATTACATTCTTTTATATTATACTACAGTACTTTTCCAGGAGAAATATAAAAACCTGATTGGTCATTTCAACAGTTGTTAAGGCGACCTTTAAAGTTATTCAAAAAGTAGATCAACATTATGCATGTTAGGTGTATACTCGTGATGTTATTTATCCTATTGGTCATTGTTGGTTCATAAGGCTCATTAATGCAGTTGAAAAGCAACCAAAAGTCCTGTTTCTGGATCTGAAATTGACTCAAGAAAATAATTGGATATTGAAGATATGCATACACAAATAACCTGAATGAAATGAGCATCTGATAAACTATGAAATAAAAGACACAGTAAATCAATCGTTACATCATTGTAACTTTTACATTGAAAGCATGCTTCTCTGTAATTACTGATAAAAATCTGTACACTTGAAACAGTTTACTCAGTAAAATTCCATTTTGCACAGTATGAATAGATTAGTTCTTCGTAAGACAGTTACTACAGCTTAAGATTTTTTTTCTAACATATTTTTAATCTGTATGATAACGTTTTGCAGTTCCAACTAGATAATACAACTATTATTGTTACTATAATCCATTCGAACACTGAAACTCAAGAGAGTGAGCCAAGAATATAAGAACATAATTTGGGCACTGTATTAAATTCTTATTCTAGTCTGATTACTGAATATATCACACAGTGAAACAGTGTTATTTACTGAACAATTCCTTAAACACAATTTAACGTCTCTGGTCCAATTAAGTAAATAGAATTTATTTGATAGGTTGTTGAGATTAGTTGATTTCATGATAGTACTCATCAAGGATTGGACATCAGTTGGCGAACCACTGAAAACCTGGAAGTACTAGATAAGTGTTTTACCTTAGCGTAAGCCTAGAACTTAGGCATTGGTAGTGTACAATTCTATACTAATTTGTTTGTCAGATATTTTGTGTCATACTTTCTTACTGGATTAGTATGAGACTTCTCAATAGTGTACACTCATGATACTGCAAGAAGTCGAACCAAAGCCTGTCAAGTCTCACAGCGAACACAATACCTTACAACGACTGCATTGGAGTCCATTAATACAGATTTTCTTAGTTGTGCCAGCTCGTGATATAACGTGACCATCATTCACTACAATTGAGGGTATTTTCTTACTTTCTTTCTTTACTTTGGGAAATCCATCTCTAAGCAAGTGACTAATGACCAGAGTAATTCAATTAATGGTTTGTAGAGATTGATTTCAGTATGGATCTGTACTATAGTTACTCATGCAACACAATCTCACAAAAAGTGGAACTGAATGTCAGTAATAAAACTTAGGTGGAGGGAGAGGACGATTTCTAAGTTTGCTTTTTCGAATCAACACGAAATACATGCAGTAGGAATGATTCAGCACCCGTTTCACATGTCTGGGAAAGTTTACTATCTCTATTGCTAAGGCTCGGAAAACCATTTAAGTAAATGTTTCAAGATTATGGAGTTACCTTGATATGATTTTCGGAGGCAAATTGTCAACAACATCAGCGAATAATTCTGTTTCACTATTTAATACGTCTAATAAGCAAACAGAAATAGATAGATAGCCAATGCTGAGCTGCATTTCGGGTTATATATATATATATATATATATATATATATATATATATATATATATATATATATATATATATATATATATATTCTCATTCTTGTTTTCTCCTCAACTGTACATATCCTCCGTTCTATTGAATCAAGTTTTTATATAAGACTATTGGGCTTAGTTTAATGGTCAACGCCATTCAGCGTAGGCAGTTATTCCATTTTAGTTTGTTTATTAGAAATATCACACAGTGAAACAGTAGCATTTACTGGATAACGTAGGCAGTTATCTTTTTGTCTCTACTCTGTATACAATTTATTTCTACTGGTTAGCAAGACTGTAAAAGTGTGTTAGCTTGTTACTTTTTTAAAATCTAATCCACTTAGCTCACTCATTGCTTTGATCACAGATATTTATGAGCTGTTTTCTTCTTAAGGTGATGATTACTATTTTTGATTTCAAAAGTGATATAAGTAAGCTGAAAATCACAGACACCAGAAAATTATGGTAAATCTTGCTATTGATTGATACTCCATCGCTAGCCCCAATTTCAAATCTTGTTGATCTATCCTTTTGCACTGCATGTTTTTCTCATGCCATTATAAACGCGTTCATGAGTGATTTTCTCGTCACCTATATCCAACGTAGTATGCATGGGGATGATGAGTCATTCAGTTGACCTTTACTATGATTGGTCAATATTAGAAAGTGGGATGTCAGACATACAGTATATATATATATTGATTTTCTCAAATGTCTCTGTTAAGACACATTAAGGTTGCAGGGTACATATTCAACGACAGCGTGTTTATTTTCAAGTTGCATGTGGTTTTTGAAAAACAGATTTGTTTGTCAGTGAGTCGTCTTCATTTAGTAATAAATTGCATTTGGAATTCACAGCATTGTCTGTAAATTTGGATGGATATTTTCATGACTGGCATTTTATTTGCTCTTTCATCTTTTTCTAAAGGATAATGGTTCTTATATTCTATATGTTCAATATCATCGGAATACTTGTGTCATCATATGTCGATGCTAAAGGAATTTACACGAGTCATATTAACCTACGACGTCACATAGATGAACTACCGGGAAATTTTCAACCAGATTCCACAAAGACATTTAATTTGAATGAACCAACCAAGAAGATACACATCAGTGGTGCAAGTCCCCAAAAAGATTTATATGATCAATCTGCGTTGTTTAAAAGTTCAAATACAAATTTATTACATTCTCCCACCGTTGCTACTTCAGTTATCAGTAGTGTAGCTACTGGCAATATTGGGAATGAGGAAATTCATACACTAGATCTGATGATAGCAGAACGAACACAAAAGTCAAAAGTTGCTGTCAATATGCCTACTACTTCAAATGAACAGAAAGTGAAGCATCGAATGAGCAACTCATGTTGGGATAATTATTTCAAATGGACCCTCGGACTATTATTTGTTATCAAACATGTTATCACTTTACGTTGGATATTTATTGGTATTGTATACCCACATAAACTAATCAAGAGACTTGGAGTGTATGCAGGGAAAATTGTTTATTGGTTCAGTTCAAGTATATCATTTTTTCGTTATCCTCATCGAGATCGTCTTCCTGTGTCTAATGCTACTGAAGGAGTTGATGGTAAATCACTTCCATCGAATGATATAATAGCAATGAATAAAAAAAGTTCGGTGAGTTCATATTTATTTACTCTAAATAAGGCATTATGAAGACAGATATTATGAGATGATATTCCGTGTCTTCTCTACTGGGTGATGAAGGTGAAATGAAAATTTGAACTACATCGGGATTCGAACTAGTAACTACCGGCTTTCTAGCCTGGTGAGCTAGATGAGCTACGAGACCCAATTCCTAACCAGATTTTTATTTCACTTCAATCACCAAGTAATTTGTCGTTGTAAACCATAGTAGTTGTTATACCGTTGCAGAGTAACTAAGACGATATCATCTCGCAGTATTTGTCTTTATTTAGATGTATAAAAGTGGCAGACTATCTACACCACAAGTATGCACACATTTACATTGGTTGGTCACTGAAGTGACCGATTTCATGTCTAGTCCTCATTCCTGACCGAATTCTGTCGATCATACTGCAATGTGGCAACTACCCAACTACCTCATTACTAGCATCGTTGACTGCAACGCTGGGTGGTGCCGGTTCGAATCTCACGTAGGGATATTAGTTTCTTCGAGGTTGCAGGTACTCCTTGCTGGCGAGTACCTGCAAACACGAAACTAATTCCCTTCAACCAAACAACATTCATTTATGTAGTTGTCTTCAGCTTCAGGAGTGATATATGTTGCTCTCATCTTTCATTGATTCTTTTTTGTTGTTTTCTGTCACCATTTCACAACACTACGTGATCTGTCGTTTTCAATCCAAGCTCGGTTTGTGTTGCTGCATGGTCTGCAAATGGAGGCATGTGCTTCTGTTTGCTTGTGATCATACCACTTTTCAGTTGCCATCTGATTGAAAGTAAACTCTTCTAAGATTAGTCATTTTCTGTCATTGGGAAACCTGTGCCGATGTCCGCAAAAGATCTTAGTTGACAAATGCATAGGGACATGATGCAACTGTTTGTGTGCTATACTAGTCTCTACTTTCGTATTCTTTTTTTTCTCAGTTGATGTAGCCCTGATTATTATCCAATCATTTTCTAACTAGTTTGGTTGCGATCTGATTCTCTGAACTGTGTCAGTTTGAACATACGCTAACTGAACAAAGTATTGAAGCCTTAGAAATTATTCATTACTCATGTTTTTTTCCCTCTTCGGTATTTTTCCTGTTTATTTTGCTTAATGTCTCCTTCTTGGTTGGTTTTCTCTATTTATACTGTTTGGGAAGATTGACAACTAGAACCTATACATTCTGTGCAAATCGTGCCGCAGCGGCTTAGTTATTTAGTCACGCGGGTTATAATTCCTAACCTCTCTGCAGGTATAAGGGTTTCAGAAACCAAATGGGTTTTTGAAATCATAGAAAATATTTCCAAGCCAAGGTTAAGGGTAGCAATGTCATTATATATCGTCATCAGGCTTGACGACATCTTCATCACTACCTTCATTATTGGAAGACTTTTTCCATAGTTCAGAGAACACTAAACCACGATAAACTAAGTGGTGTCACCACCTTATCTCCTGGTCATCATCAAAATCATATAGCATCAGGGACTACTGCATAATGGTCCGAGTTTCTACAGCTCATATCAGTACATCAAGTAAAAAGCAGTGAAGTATAAGGTGAAGAAAAGAAAATTCGGTCAAAAGAGAAATACAGTACTCAAAGAGAGAAAGGAAGAATGAGAAAACAGTGAGATCCGGTATAGGGTTAAGATCAGGATAATGTGTGTATACATCCGGGCCACTGACCGCTTCTGAGCCATATCGTCTAGAGAGTCTCCAACCACTGATTCCTCTTGTCCCGCGGACCCCAACCACCTAGTCTGCATCGCCCCACATGGCTCAAACCAACAGTCGGGGACTTCATGCATTGGTGTCATGTTTTAGTCTGGCCACTTCGAGCCTTTTTCCAGCCTGAACCTACTTCGGCCACCATTGTGTGACGAGGCAGATGGCGACTAGACATACGTAACACATGTCCCAACCATCTGAGTCGATGAAGGTTCAGAACCTCGTCAACTGACTTACCTTACTCCTGACTTCTGCGTTACTCACGTGGTGACACCATGGAATACGGCGTATACTACGAAGGCAACGGTGGTCGAACACCTGAAGCCTTCTAATGTCTTCTACCTTCAATGGCCATGCTTCACAGTCATACAGTTCAACAGACCCGACTGCTGTGCAGTACACACGACCCTTAATAGACAATTGATGTAAGTTGGCAAAAGCCAGTCAGCCGAGCCCTTTGTATTCATGCAGAGATTTCACCGACCACTGAGCCACCAGGGCTGATCCCACTTCATTTCCCAGGTAAGTGAGGTGATCAACACACTGAGCCACTACACTCTATTGTTAGCCGCGGTGGGGCACCATTGAAGATCAATCCTGGAGCAACCATTTGCATTTGGGTGATGAGAAATGCATTCCAAACATTCTCAAATTGCTACTCAAAGTGTTCAGAAGACTCTGCATCTTGTCAGCGTCTTCACCTAACAGAACTATGTCATCTGCATATTCTAGGTCTAACGAAAATTCTCCCGCGATTAGGTCATCCTCTGTGTAGTCAGGTGACGAGGGAGAAACCTCCATTAGAATATTTATGATAAAATTGAATAAGAATGGAGAGAGTGGTCACTCTTGACGGACAGTGCTTGACGAGTACAGTTGCCTGGGCATCTGATCATGGGCTCTGACACACCCACAAGTTTTAGTAGACAGCCTTCACTAAGGTGATATACTTACTCGGCACACCTTTCAGTGAGAGACGTTTCCATAAAACTTCTCGATCAACGGAATCGAATGTCACCTTCAGGTGGAGAAATACAGTGCCCGTGTTCCAGAACTTGGCGCAGTGTGAATATTTAGTCTATGCACCCGCGGCTGGGTCTAAAGCCTCCCTGGTTTTCTCCGGCTTCCTGTTTCCGTGCTCCACTAAGGCGTCGAAAAATTGTAGAACCCAGAATTTTAGATGCTATGTATATTAGGCTGATTCCTCTGTGGTTATCACAAAATGACTTTTCGCCTTTCTTGAAGACTGGAATGATCAGTGATTTAGACCAGTCAGAGGGGATCGTATTTGATTCCCATATACTGGTTAACACTTCCGTCAACCTGGCTGAGGGCACCTTACCACCATCCTTGTATACCTCAGGAGTTAGTCCGTCTGGTCCTGCCACCCTTCCTCGTTTCAAGTTATCTACAGCCCTCTCGATTTCTGCAAGTGTTGGGGGGCTGTTTCAATGTTGCATTCAGGATCCGACTGGATAGCGGGAAACGCAATGGTGGCTGGAGACCATTTGGACTGTTCCTGGAAGCGTTCTGCCCGTCCTTCTAGTCGTCTCCCCTGCAAGTGAATCGCAGACCTGCCCTTCTCCGCTATAGTCTCACTAACTGTTGTTGAACTTTCTTCCTCAGTTTCCTTGAGAAGTCTAAATAACTGTCTGCTGTTATCGATCGCCGCCGCCTTTTCCATCTCTTTAACCTTCGCTGCCCACCGCTGTTCGTGATTATTGCGTAGACTTTTCATTAGTCTACTTTTAAGTTGAGCTCGCTCTTCATTGTACTCAGAGTCTGCAGGGATGCTTTCACGTGCATCCATTAGTTCGGAAGAAGCTGCTGATATCCACTGGCTGTTTTTAGCCACTTTTTCGGAGTCGGCTACAGTCTTCAACGCTGCTTTTACAGCAGACTGAAGATGGCACCAAGCTTCTTCTGGATGAAAGACAGTATTTTGTTCCGATGACTGCCTAGCCAACTTCTCACTGAACACAGCTTTGGTGTTTTTGTTCTCTGGCAGCACTCGTAGTGGTTTTGTTGCCAAATTTTTCCTACGTCCATTGAGACGCAGGCATATAGGCTCTCGGACCAACACATGGCCTCTATCCAAACACTTACTCCAGAAGGAGCGGCAGTCTTCCACCGATCCTCTTTAGCGATGACTGATAGCAATATGGTCTATCTATGTCCATCGGTGAGTTGAGCTCGGTGGACTCCACGTCAGACAGTGTCTTTCCTTATGTCTGAAATTTGTGCTAACTAAAAATAGGCGGTTATCTAAACGCAGCTGTAGTAAGCGTTCACCGTTATCTGTTCGTTCAACCGGGACTCTGAAAGTGCCACCTAAGTGCCTTTCTGCCTCACTCAATCTACCTACCTGTGCATTAAAGTCACCTGCAACAACCACCAGGTTCAAACGTTTGGCTTTCGAGAGGAGGCTAGACAGTTTTCGTTAGAACCCACTTCATCTGAACTGCAGTCAGTGGGTGCGTAAGCAGACTTCAACAAGAGATAACGGCAAGTTTCACGCTTCTCACTGTGCCGTTCAGCCGGACAGCTCAGAGGCTACTATCAGCTGGGATCTAATCTGATAGTAAGTTTCCTGCCCTAGTGCCTAATGCTGTGCCTACACCTGCAAGACCGCGAGAGCTAGCCATCGAGTCTCCAGAAACTCGAAGGGTGAGTTTTGTGGATTCACTAGATTGGCCACCAGAGGTTAGGTTAATAACCTCACTTGAGTCCTGTATGCGAGTCTCAAAAACAGCCCACATCCATGGCCCGAGTTTCTATAGTCTTGACCAATGAAGCCTGTTGACCAGTTTGATGGAGGGTGTGGACATTGAAGGCCCCGATGTGTAATTTGTAGCGTGGTTTAAGGAGACCAGGGATGCTGTTCTGTGGAGTCAGATCGTTGTCGAAGGCTGCAGAGCTAGACGAAATTGAAGGTGTAGTGTCGTTAATTGAGAGACGTGAAGGAAGACTAGAAGGTAATGATGGGGAGGTGGATAACAGTCTGAGGAAACCTGACTGCTGACAGAGTTTTGAGGGTGGCTGACATTTTCTGGCTGCCCACCCTGTGGAAGGCTATTTCTTCTTAAGGTACCTGAAAGGGATTTTTGTGACCACAGAGCCCACCGGACATCTGCTTTGAGGCCTGTCACATGCAGCCAACCCGGCAGACCGTGGGGTATGTTGGAGTGTGTTATTTTTTGGGTCGAACTTTTCTGAGCCCCCTTCTTCTGAGAAGGCAGCGTCAGCACGGCACTGCTGATCATCCAAGGAAAACCGCTTACTGCTATCACGCCTTATCCAGCTAGCAGCAGTAGGAATTCGCCCTCAGACCCCCGTCATGGTGTAGTAATTTACACTGCAACGGTAACTGCTTTTCGTCTAACCACTATCCAACAGACCTTTCTGGTTTGATAGGAACTCGAGGGAACAAGTGTCCCACCAGTATAGCTCATTGGGTCATTGTGATATGCAAGCCTGACCGCCACGTCAAGGTAGCGGTTATCGGTCGAGTTGTCTCCAAGTACGTGCACATGCATGTGATTTTTGATTGACAGATTTTAGCTTTACATTCGTGGAACCCTATGTTGCGTTAGTCTATCTTTATCACGTATGTTCATTGCTGAAAGGAATTGGTAGTTAAACATCTCTCTTATCATATTTACATCCAGTAGTTACATCAGTAGTTTAGGGAGATGAATTTCAACCGGTTGGTCATGGGTTCGAACTCATCTCCACCTGCCGTGGTTTTGGCAGCCATGCAGTATCATTAGACCTCACGCAATAGGTATGGCTCATTGCCTACTGCACCAATGTGAACAAGGTTGCTGAGTGGATTCATGCGATTCTGCCCTCCTATGGCCCTCAAAACGACGGGAGTGCATAGCTGGAGACTACGTGATATGGTTAAGAATCGGCTACAATCATTTAGGTTTATGCAATCTATCGTTTTTAAAGTTTGGACATTTTCATCAATCACTGTTTATTCACTCTCTTGCTGTCCACTTTTTTTTCTATGCTGCTGTGAAGTGTGGCAACTTAAACTGATGCACCTCTGTACCAGTTTCTATAATGGTTTTTGATCTGTTTAGGTTAGGGAAACAAGTGGAAAAATCCTCGTTATATGTCTATAAAAAAATTATGAGTAGTTAGTCGAAGTTGTACTATCGCAGTTGGATACAGTTTACTTCAGTGTTTAATGTTTCAGTTATTTGAAATAATTTGTTTTATATCAGAGAACATGGTAAACCAACGATAGATACTCAGGACTGCTAAGACTAGTGAATATTAACCACAGTTATATAGAAGTTGGATAAAGATTATCGAGATGGGTAACAATAGAATAATTGAGAGATGAATTACGTTCAAAACAGCATATGAACACGGAAGTGATGATACCACACAAGAAGCGGAGTGGTTTGAAGCGTACGGATTGAGACTATGAAAGGAGATGTTAAGCAAGTCTTTTTTTGTGAAGTTCTAGGTTCTCTATGTGGATAGCTAAAGCTTCAGAAACGTATAAGTGGCCAACACACTGCTATTGGTAAGCTCCTTTTCACTCTGTATATAACTTTGAAAGAGGAGGTTGTCGAGAGTGCGTGATCACTGTCGATGAGATGTTCGATTACTTCACTCTTTGTTGAACAACTACCACATCTTTGCAACCATATAAGTTAGTCAGTGTTTTTGAACAAGACCTGTATCTGACGATCAACCAAAAGTGAAGCGATCAGATAGTAAGGTTTTACAGTCAGGTATCCATTGGTCGCCAAAAAGTTAAGTTTCTGGTAATTCGCATCCTACATATTTACAGCCCTGGTACCTCAGACGAAATCCACCTTATTTCATAGATAAAGGCATTAGTTCAAAAAATCCCACAGAATGCTCGATTTTTGTGTTGAGAAAGATACTGTAGATAAACATTGAATTCGGTGAACCCGGTGCAGATATTCTACTCTACGTAAAACATTTTTCGCAGCAGTGTCAGGAGAAGTTTCCACCAGTCGCCGGAAATTTTCTAATAACACATCTGTGATAGGAGTAAAACTTCGAGGATAAAATTACCAAAAGGAATCTCTTCGCCTAAATACTCTTTATTGTCTCACAAGTAGGAAATCAGTATTCGATTTTATAATTCTTATTTGCATTCAGGTTGGTACAATTTGAACAGCATTCTTCTCGACTACTTTTGGAATGCTGCTTAAATTGGTAGTAATCAGTTAATAATCACTTGACAGATTCCCATGTAGCACGTGTGAAGTTATAAAGTGGGCTTTAAGAAAATTTATCTACCTGTGGCTCATTGGTCGACCTGTAATCACCTCACCACGAGTTCTTACCCGCACCGCCTATTTTGATCTGAGCAACCGGATATTTTTGTTAACTTCCGCTCAGCCGGTTCATCCTACATGTTTTAAACCACTGTATAAATTCATGATAAACTTGATTTGACGTATTTTCTAGCCTTCTGTAATATCGAATATCCTCTGGCTTTGTTTTCGGAAGAAAGTACTTCCTAGAATATCGACAAGTTTTTCAAGAAGTCTGTTTGCACTATAAGCATAGTCTCCGTTCTTCCTAAAGACGAATCTCCAGGGTTTATGTGCTTTAGCTTGACATAATAATCAGCGCGTTACAGGCGCTTATGTACTAGGCTATGAGCCATAGTTATGCTTTGAAACATCATGGTACTACCAGGTTGTTCAGATCGAAGTAGATAGAATGGGATTTGAACCTGAAACTCATTGTTTGAGAGTGGAATGTTTACATCAGTGAATCACATATCCATTTGGCATGATCCACTCATTTTACCTACTGAAACTCATTAGCAGGTTCACTAGTTGCTGATCGACATAATGAAAATAATTCAAGTTAATTATAATAACAACACTTGCTGTTTATCATGGTATAGTTTTGTGATAAATAGTACTTAATTTTCCATTTTTGAAAGCTGTAAAACTTCATTCTTCATATGCATATGAATGTTTGTTGTTTTTTGCTTTGAAAAACTACTGCTTTTTAGCCTGGTCTATCAAAACAATTGCCAACTGATGAATTGAAAAATAATAAAGTAACTTCGTAAGTTATTCCTTTTTGCTGCAAAAGATATTTTGTTGATACTATGTGAAATCTAGGTTTTGTAGTTAACTTTCATTGAATTATAAAGACTTTTTATACAAGTTTCCAGATTGATTTTTTATTGATATTTACAGAGTTAGGTTTTAGAGTTGAAAGACTAACGATTAAATATTAGTCGAGAATAAGGTAATTAATTGACACTGGGTGATGATTGAAGGTAAAATAAAAATCTGGGCCGCAGCAGGACTCGAACTATCAGCCCTCGGGTTACTGGCCAGCTGTTCTACAAGCTGAGCTACGAGACCCTGGTGCTGACCTGATCTTAATTTCTGTTTAATCGCCAAGGTTTTGCCCGACTGAAATTTATACCTGCCCAACAACTGGGTCTCGCAGCTCAGTTGGTAAAACACCGGGCTGGTGATACGAAAGTCGCTGGTTTGAATCCTGTGGCATCCCAAGTTTTCATTTCACCTTCAATCATTACACGGTATTACTAATACGAGCCCGCCAAACCATCGCTATCCCAGTCAAACTGCTAATCAATAAGTTAACTGTTAGTGAACAAAAGCTAAAATAAACTTCACTAGATCTGTTCTGTGCGAAAGTGTTTAAGCTACTAAAGGTGATCTTGTTCTTAATAATGAACGATTACTTCAGTGTTCTGATCCATGTTATAGGAAATGATAAGGCTACTTATTCTAAGCCTTTATTGTCTTCAAAGCATCAACATTGTTTGACAAAAATACTCAGCAAAAAGCAATGGAAAAAGGTCGAATTCTAGTTAAGACACGTAAACCGCTAGATGAGGTAGTGTATCTTCATACACTAAAGTGATGATGAATTGTTTTCTAACAGTTTGTGTCTGAATGAGAATTACTAATGAATGAAAGAGGAAAAATCGTACATTTTACTCATGCGAATGGTTAACTAGTAGGTAGTAGCCAAGTTGTTGTTAACTATTGAAATTCATGATGGACTTATTAAGTGAAATTATATGTTTACTTCCATTTTCTTTAGTTTATGAGATATATCACACAGCGGAACAGTGTTACTTACCGAATAATTTCGCTCGCGCAATTTGATTTCCGTAGCTTCATATGGACGGTCGGGAAACAAAACGAAGCGCCCTCAGCTAATGATACTACCTGGCTGCCCAAACCTCGGTAGGTGGAGCGGAACTCGAAACCGTGACCCGATGATCGGTAGTCATCTGCCTAAACCACTGAGCCACAGCTCCTACAACCTTCAGATATGGTTTATGCGGTTTTAGTTCTCTCTCCTTTGTGATAGAAGTGATAGAATTTGCCAAATATCTGGAACGTACGGAACCAATCCTATTGCATTGTACCTGATGATTCAATCAAAAGATTCAATTATCAACCTCTCCTTTTATCTATTCACGCTATTCTTTTAGAACGTTCATTCTATCTCATCCTTTTGCGTGTAATTTTATACGTACATATAATAGAGCTTTTCTGCATATTCCTTATCTTACTAGGGTCTACCAGTCTTGATTCGGTCAAGTTTTTGGGCTCAGACAGCCTTATTGACCCTAGTCAGCTGTCTTGACTTTATAATCATGACAGGGGATATGATAAAACTAATTATATCTTTCATAGAGTCTCCTGCTTTCCTTGATTGTATGAATAACTATAAATAGGCTTTTCTCGAGATATAGATGATCCACAACCGTTTGATGTATTTTATAGATACGTTCAATCTTGATTTGTTTTCTGGATAATTCATTTTCTGCGGTTATTTTGCTTCTTTTAGTAACAAGTAGTTGTGGAGCTGTGGCTCATTGGTCTATGTACTTGGTCATGAGTTCGAACTCAATACCACCTAGCAGCTAGGTAGTATCGTTAGTCCCCTACGCAATAGGTGTGACTCATTGCCTACTGTATGAATGTGTACACGACTGCTGAAAGGATTGCAATTTCAGTATACACTTTGAAACTTTCAATCGGAAACTAGGTCGTGAAACGTCTCCAGAAGGCGAACTAGTTTTAGCTAATTTTTACCCCAAATCATCATAATCATGATGGTTAGTTGACACTTCAATTTACTCATTGTTTAAAATTTAATTTAGTTTTTTTTAACGATTCATTTATCTCTTGTAAACAGATAGACCACATAGATTTTGATGTGTGTCTACGCATATTAAAACAAGGTTTGTGATTCTATGCCTTTTCCTTGTTTAGAATAAGATTATTCAGTTGGATTTCAACTCTTACTTCAGTTACTGATTATTTTACACCATGTACCCACTATTATTCCAAATCCTTGTAACTAAATAGTTCATGGGAGATGAATTTGCAAATTATTTACAAATATATGCAGTGTTTTAAGAAAAAGATACGTTACTAAGTTGTTTTTATCATGGAAAAGTAAACATTTTTGTTTTTCTCTGTCCTTATTTTCATTGGATACAAAGTGAATTCTTGTACTTTCGTGATTACCATACTGACACTCAATAATATAATAATGCAACTCAACTCGGTACGGGTGCATGTATGAATTACACTTATTATATGGAGGTTTAAGATACTAACTAGCTGTGCAGCCCGTACAAAGTAGGCGAGACAAGATTTGAACACGTGAAAGAGTCAAATACTTAAGCCTGTGAACCACTTCTACACACAGAGTTCCCTCAGATTACCTATGACAAATCAAGACTAATGAATAATCAGTGAAACTTTAAATTCTCCTGATGTTTCCTGATGAAAAAATCCAGTTTTGCCCGGTGTTTGCAACATCTTTCATGTAAGTTTTACGTTGATTCATTTTGAGTGGTGAACATCACATGCAAAATGGAAAACTCAGGGAATATATATTAACTTCGAATCTCAGGTGGGACATGAGTTCCGTCGAAGTTGCAGATACGCCTTGCTGACGAGTGCCAAAAACCACGAAACCTAGTTCAAGGGCTTCATGCCGATTGCTTCCAACCAACTAACATATATTAACTTTATTTTCCTCAGTACATAATACGTAATGCATCAGAAACTAAGTGGTTTTATGTTATCACATGATATCTGAGACTGAAAATGTTAGTCATAGGTTAATTTATTTAAGAAAGCCCTGGGATTTTGTGTTGTTGATGACATTATGTAAAGGTTATTTGTTAATGAATGACAATTCATTAATCTGCATCACTTTTAAGCCATCATCTGGCTATTTAACAATAAATTTTATTGTCTTGAAGATCATTTGCGCTACGAATTGAAACCAATGAATATATCTTTGAAAAAGGATTTAATGACATGTCTGTAAACAATTTACTACGCACTAGTGTAACAACCGTTACTACTTAAAGAGTCTAACTGTCGAACTTCAAATTGCCTTACCGTCTAATAGTTGATAAGGCATCTAGTGGGTAATTATTTTTTAACTTGTATCAGTTTGCACTGTAGTGCCTTCGTTATGAACTCTGATCATCATCATTTTCTACGTAGTTGGACTTCATGGTTCTCGAAAAGAGCGTAGTATTTACAATCCTCAATAGATAAAAAAATGTATTGAAATCACTATCCAGCACTTATCGGAATTCGATTCACAATGGTAAGCATTTTCAAAATACTCTTTTAACAAATTCCAACTTCAAATTTCCGTTTGTTACAGGAAACTACTGCCTACAAGCTTACCAAAAATGACAAGTCAACCTTCAGATAAAAGTGCCCGAGTAAATCGTAGAAAGAAAGTAGTGTACCCGCCAGTTGATGCCCCAAAATTATCAACATCCAATACTAATACATCTGAAGATCACTCCCAATTGATAAATCGTCCTCGTCTTACAACAGCAGAATCTCCGTTGATGACACCAACGGCGACGGTAACGACAGCAGCAGTAATACCAGCGACGACAACAACGACCTGTAAAGATTTCTCTCCACCACGTATGGCTGAAGCTGATATCGTTGCTGCTGTTCAAGCCTCAATACGACTAACTGAGGATGTGGTTCATCATCATCAAGCCCGTCGAAAACAGGCACAACGCATCTCTTCACGTATAACATGTAACTCCTCTTCACCGTCGTCTGTAGCTGGACCTGATTTAGAAGGTAGCTATTGTAAAGACAATCGAAAATTGAGACCTAGCATTGACATGCTTTGTCAAAATCATCTTTCATCTCTGTCACTTGATTCGCGTCATAAATCAGGTCCAACAAATGAAAGTTCATCTCCTACTACTGTCAGTCACTCTACTAATGAAAGTCAAGATAAAAAGAAAAACTCAAGAATTTCGGCTTTATCACTTGAAAAACAATTTATTGATGGATTTAATAATGAGTATGTGATAAAATTGTTATCATTATTATTTAATTTGTTTATTTCTGCGAGATAATGACTATTTGCAAGTGTGTGCAGTAAGTCATGAAACATATCAGTCGTTCGACTATTTGCGATCCTTTCCACCTAAATGCCCAAACGTTGGTAGGTGACGAACCTACGACTCCACCGATTGGATAGTAACCATGTAAACGAATGAACTACAACCCTTTAGCTTAATTTCTGTGTATTATGTGCACATCATTCAAGTCATCTTCATAAATAGCTGAAAAAAACGACTGCCTTAATGAAGATTACATTCTGAAATTGTGGAGAATATTTGTAGCTCAAGTGGGTGGTCTTGGTTGTATTGTGTTCTCTAAGCTCGGTTGTTTAGTCATGGAGCTTTCATCGTCTCTCTGGACGACGTCTTCAGCACTAACTTCAGTATGAAATGAGCTGTCAATATCTCTCCGTTAGTGATTTGGTAGCTTACCCTGACGAATTGGTCTGTGATTGATTGTTGTGTCATTGACTGATTAGATTTTCTTGTTGGCTGTCCCTCTGCTTGACCTGTGACCTTTCTGTCGTTTATCATTGCCGACTGATCTGAATGCCAAGCTTCTAGGGATTCTCTGGTATTCTTTGTGTGTTCCTCTGTTTAAAATTTCTACTTTGTCAAAATTGAATCCATGTCCATAATTATCCACATGCATTGAAATGAGTGATGAAATATCATGACGTTTAGTAGCCAACTGGTGTTCATATAGGTGAAGGCGAAGAGGGCGACCACTGTCCAATATAGTGTTGACTACAGTTATAGCAGTTGGCTTTGTAAATGATGTTCGGTTTATCTTCTTTGGTTGTTGCATGCTTTGGTCTGCATAATAGTGTTTGGAGGGAATTTGTTAGTTTATCAGCCACACCAATTCCAAGTGGTTTCAGTAATCTTGTCGTAATCTCTAATATATTCTTTATGTAAGATAGGGTGATGGGTTTGTTGATTTCTGTCGATGACTTTGTGGTTGATGATGTATGTGATAGACATCTTCTGATAAAGTTTCATGGGTAGAGCCGTTCTTCTTTAGGATAGATATCAAGTAATTTTCTTCGTTTCTCCGTGAAGTTGCACTGTAGTGTGTTCTCGCTCTTTTGAACGGAGTTTGCACGCAACTAATTTTGTGCATTGTTGCTACTATGGTTGAGGATTTGATTAGCGTGTGTTGGCTTCATGTACACTTGGCTTTCCACATTTCCGGCATTTTTCCTATTGACTAAAACATCCAGAAATGGTGGTTGGTTGTTTGACTCCTTCTCCATTGTGAATTTGATGTCATTGAAAACATTGTTGCTCAAACTGTGGGTGTTTTCTATATCATCTTTTCTAATGATGGCAAAAGTGTCGTTTACATAGCTAATCCAAATTTGTAGTTTAATCACAGGTAGAATGATGGTTTCCAGTCTCTGCATCACTGTTTCTGCAATTAGTCCGGATATCGGTGACCCCATTGGAGTTCTATTCATCTGTTTGTATATCTTTCCATTGAATTGGAAGTTTTTTGTCTGGCAAAGGTCGATGAGTTCCATCAGACTTGAACATTTAAGCTTTGTGCTTTCTGAAAGGCTTATATTCTCACCAAAAGGAGTTAAAATGATGGATATGTAGAATAAACTCATAAAAGATTGTAGATAATGATAGTGGTAACACTATAAAACTAGGATTTTCGTGAAAGCTTACCAGTGAGACTCAGCTATAAGAGTTGAACATTAATGTTTTCGGTGTTAAACGTTATTGGTTGTCAAGCTGATTTTAGAATGGATAAATGGTGTACAATTTCGAACTACGGCATGCAAACTGTCAGATGCTGCCTGGTTTTCAACATCTTTTCAAGTATTTTCATCTAGTAATTTAACTAATTTCATCGTGAATAGAAGTAAACTAGTGAATGTTTACTACCTTTCAAAAAGACAGAAGCGGAGTAGAAACTGATAGAATAGTCGATCACTACACGTCATACTTTTCTTGTGGGAAATCAATGATAGAAAAAAGAAAGCTATGCTTAGTCCAAATGGTTGGTGAGGTAATGTCACCAGACACACTAGTGGCGATCCAATAATCCATATTATTGTGTAATTTCTAATATCAACCGCCTTGAGACATCATGTAACATAGTAGGCTGTTTCTGTAAGGTGTTTGAATGTCTCATCTAATGCTTGCATAAACCTTGTGTTTGCTTGCTAACCTGTAGTGGCCAACACGAAGTTTCCCAATTTCACTATCATAGAAAAATCTACATATTATCTTTCACTCCATTTTTTTCTCCTACTGCTAATCGACATTCATCTTCCAACCAATTAGGTTTAGTATATTCGCTTGCACCACTACACTGAATTCATTCTTCGTTACTCAAACACCTGTAATACTTTCAAAGCTTATAATGAGCTATAAACCTAGATAAGTACATTGAGTGGTTTTCAGTAGAAGTTTCTGCTCTGATTTCACAGAGATTGGCTTCGTAGTTGGGAATTTTTGTAATAGACTTGCAGAGAGACCTAGAATAAATGATACTGAACCTTGTAAGTGATTTAAGTGAATTTGAAAGTGGCTTATATACGTTTCTTACCTTCTAAGTACAAGTTATTGTTTCAGAATTCGTACGCATCGCTACCCTGTTTGATATTAGGATGGAAAATGTCTAGGCGTGCAGACCACCTAGTACATATGGGTTTATTGGCATGTTCTGGTTAGTGGCTGACAAAATTTTGACACGGACTTGTTTTAACTTTCGGTAAATTATGTCATTCTTGGTATTGCCAATATATCTGAGTGCTTATTTAGGACAAAGTGTACAATGCAGTAGTTTGCTCTCTCCTCCTATATGTCAGATGTGAACAATTAAAGGTTACAGGTACCCTACCACTACTCCCTTTTTAACATTGTTTGTGTGTGTTAGAGCCATCATAGAGACATCAGATGTAGAGCATCAAGTAAAGTTGACAGGTCAGTTGATAAGGCCGTAAACTCAATAAATTAAGTGACTGGATCACGTGTTACTCGTGTTAACCCACCGCTTAACGTTCCATGTTAGCTAAGATAGGACTAGGTCAGAAGACAACTAATAAAATGGTCAAGTCAAAATATGACACCAACCCATAAGGTCATTGACTGTTACTTTGGGTCTTGCATTAAACTTTAAACTATCTTGAGATCTATGAGAGCCAAAATATATAGTTCAAAACTCCAGCTCAGTGGTTGTGGGGAATATTCATTCATGCCTCAGTTTTATCTCGATAATAGTGTATATCTTTATTCCTTTTGTTTCTTTTTCTTAAGGTTCTGACGATCCTTCATATTGTTTTTATATCTCTGTTTCTTCTTTTTTGACTGCATTTTCATGTGCTGATATAAAACGTGACAATTTGGTTGGGTAAGCAATTATGCTTTGTCGTATGTCGCTCATACCCGTCTCTTTTTCACTTTGCATACAGTTACTCGCATAATACAAACAACAACAACAAGACCAATGATTTATCTGTTATGATATTTTTTTCAGTGTCATAACACGTTTTAGGGCTAAATCTCTAGACTTTAAACGCTTTATGGCTTGTACAAGGGAAACTTCTCTATCAAATGTTTATTCCGTTTGTTCAACTTAAGCAAGAGCAAACCTTCCAATAATATTTTTCGTTGTTGAGTTATACACCTTGATTCACGAACTTGACATTCAGTTACTGACTTACATTTTTCTAATTCTTTGTTCTTGTTAGGTGGGTCTTAATTCTTTGCTCTCATACAAACCTGTACCTGATTACTGAGTTATTTTTTTCTCTTTATTACTGTGGAAGTTATCATTTTCTTTTTTATAGTATCCACTTTAAAGTTACTGTGTATGAGGATGGTAAACCAGCCTCATTGAATTGTTTCTGTTATAACCTTCCCCCAAAATGCTTCTACTCAATTTTGCATACTGTGCAAAGAAAAACATATAAACCCAATGAAGTCAGCGAGAGATGAGATGATAACACACTAAGGTACATACCAACCTGTTCGATATGGAAAGTGGGCTATGTATATCGCTTCAATGAACTATGAATATGCTTAGGTTATTATGTAATGTATACCCTTCTTGAGATATAAAACTTATGAGAAGCGCAAAAGTACTGCTCATAAGTTCTAGATGAGATTTACTTTTCTTCCTATTTAGTACAAACAATTTTATTTTTATTACTCTGAAACAATAGGATCGAATCGTCTGGAGACTCACAGGAAATTGTGGGAAATACTGTTACAATAAGTCATCAAAATTGTAAGTTCTCTTTCTTTGTGTGTTCATTTTTGAGATGTATCAAGAATATCCCTATTTCATGAATTTTACCGGTGTTTTTGTAGTATTTTGTCACAACAACAATTTTTTGTCATTATTATATTGATACTTGACTGTCGTGCCTCAGTGGTCTAGTGGATAATGCTGTAGTGTTTGAAGCTATGGGTCACAGTGGGAACATCCTCACTATTTGGAGGGCAGGTACATGCGACTGACAAGTTGCAAACCGGACGGAACACATGTCTTGGATTCCACCGCTAGCCACCACCAAGCAAATTACATCTTCAATTTCGCCTTCCCCACCCGCTAGTGTTTGCAATCATTGTAGAGACTCATAGTCAATCCGCGTTTAATTTGCTTTCACTCCTCATTGAGTCTTCTTGTATCAAACAGTTTAGATGAGATTTCAGAAACTCATTGGTTTTTTTGCAGTTTACTAAAACTGTATCTCTGTTTCTGAATATTACGCCAGGCTCCATCGAGTAGAAAATTGCTGCCATTTTCAGATAAATGCCTAGCTGTCTCCTTCCTTAGTACACATTTGGCGTTCTCATCTTCCAATCGAACAGTAGCATGCTTCAATAAGCAGTAAGGCTCAAACATACACATGCTTTTACTACCATTTTATCGGAGTCAAAGCAGGTACTCTTAAAGGAGCGCCAGTCTTTACCGAACCTTTCTAATGATGATTGACAGCAGTATGATGTGTCCACCGTTGGTTTGATATCAACGGAAGCCAAGTGAGTTAGTGACTCTTCTGTTACCTGAAGTTACTTCTGGCCAAAGACAAGTGATTATCAGATGGAAATTGTTTTTGATCCGTTGACACGGGATACTGTAGATACAACCGAAAATTCCTTTCTGATTTGTTTAGCTTCCCTACTTGAGATGGCTGAGGTAACTCACTACTATGACTATATCTGAACGTTTTGCTTGATGAAGCAAAACTGATAGCTTTCGATAGAATTTATTCTTGGCATCATCCAAACTCCAGTCAGTGAGTGTGTAGACAGAGATTACGAATAGAAATCGATGAATGTCATGACCATTTCCAGTTCTTAGAAATTTGTTCAGTTGGCCGTCGACTGGTATCCATTCTATAAGTGCGCATTCTACTCTACAGCTAACGCTATACCTACACCAGAGGGTCTACGAGAGATAAACATTCAATCTCCGGACACTTGTAAAGTGGATTCCGCGGATTTTACTACACTGACCAGGTTACACCAAGTAGATAACCACACTTGTGTCCTGTGTGCGTGTCTCAGAAACATAGCTACAACCATGGCTTGAGGTTCCACAGTCTTAGCAAGTGATGTATATCTTCCAATTTGGCATAGAATTCAGACGTCGTAAGGCTCAACGTGAAACCTACAGCGTCGTTTTTTGACATGGTAGGACTTAGGGGAACATGTGTTTCTACCAACAGAGTTCTTCGGATCATTGTGATGTGCGAGCTTGATCATGAGGCCAAGGTAACGGCTAGAGGTTGGGATGCGTATCGTGTGTGGGATACTGACAGTGCTTGACTGCACAAAGATTGGTAAGTGAACTGGGTTTCGAAACTTTAATCCATTGGTCGAGATTTAAATATTTAATCTGGTCATTTGTTGTTAATTTGCACAACTGCTGAAACGAAATCTGATGAGGATATTGCTTACTATTATATGCACACATACATGTATTACATTAAACTCCTGCTTGGTATTTACAGTCAGTCAATATCAATAGAAGATATGGCAGTACTGCCTAACGATCCGAGTTACTACATCTTACATTAGCACATCAAGATAAACGCAAGAATAGGGGGGAAATGTGCTTAAAGGTCACAGAAAGTTATAATAGGAGAGGAAAATGAGGCGAAAATTCGGTTCGACGATTAGGATAAAGTGTGAAAGTGTCTGCAAAACTGAGCCATATAGACTAAAGCCTCTAACCATTGAATTAGGTTATCCAACAGATTTAGATTGTGACATCTTCATTCCCACCACACAACTCAGATCTCTTCTACCTGCAACTCTACACCTGACTTCTTTGTTACTGAGATGGTGACACGGCGACTCCTGAACGCTCCTCATATCCTTTACCTTTAACGACTATGTTTCACAGCCGTATAGTAGAAAATAAAGAACTGCAACACAGTACACGAGGTCATCAATGAACAGTCGGATATTATGGGAGAGCGAGGGCATAGATTATGTGCGATGGCGAAATCGGTTGTTCTTTTATATCCGCTCAGAGATTTCTTCGGTCAATCAACCTACAACCGGTAGTCGCCGATTGAAATCCCAGTCGAGCTACCAAGGTTTGGAAAGCCAAGTAATATCATTAACCATCACACAATGGGCATGGCTCATCCAGTTTACGAACGTGTACTTGATTGCTGAGTTGCAGTTTACTCTTCTATAACTCCTGTAATTTACGAATTTATTAAATTCTGTGCTATCCGTCCCCACTTTCGTGCTTTCTCATGATTGCAATTCAGTTGCTTCAAAGTAAGCAAAGTATTTAGGAAAATCACTTTCATAAATCCACCGTATTCAAAAAGAATAAGGCGATGTTTGAACCATGAGAACAACATCTGATAGTTACAGGATTATCTCAGGATCATTATGAGCAATAAATTTTGCTTGAAACGTCATCTAGTATTATTTCATCGATATGCGCTATGTCGTTTAAACTATTCTGATAAAGAATTACGTTTCACTGCAGGACTCAGTTTTTATTTTGATATTTAAGTTGAATTGTGAACAAAGTAGTAGACTTAAAAGCGAATAGTATATTCATTGAGATAATGAATAGTACAATGATGAAGAAGATCGAAAGTATATAGTTAAATGGAATATGTTAAGGAATGTAGTGAAATTCAGAAAGATGAAACAAGTGTGTTATAAACATGAAAGAAGAAAGAGAGTTTATAAGTGAAATAATTGTGAAGTTGTTTCTAAACACTCAAATTCCAACTGATAGGTTACAGATTCGAACCGCATCCTATCTTCCGAAATTTGAGCAGCCAGGTAACCCCTCACACAATAGATGTGACTCACTACCTACTGGATGGTAAACAAACTCTTACAGTTCCAAGCATCATCGTATTCATACTGAGTGGTGATTGAAGGTGAAATGAAGATTTGGACCGCGGCCGGATTCGAACCAGCGACCACCAGGTTTCCGACCCGATATTCTACTGGACCTTGTAGCTCACTTAGTAAAGCATTTGGCCGCTGGTTCAAATCCAACCACGATCCAAATTCTCATTTCAACTTCAATCATCATTCAGTATAAATACTAGTCCGTCAAACCACGGCTATCTCAGATGGTCAGAATGATAATCTTCGTATTCATTTGTCTATTTCGATAGTTTTAAAATTTTGTTCATAACAATGTATTATGTATATATAGTCTATTAAACTTGATGGAGATGTGTTGAGCATTTTGAATAAATATTTTAATACAGAAAAACCATTATTACCATTAATATAGAGGAGTATTATTAATTCGAGTTCTGAATATAATTTTACACACTGGGAACTTTTTGAGAGAATTGTGGTAATAGTCTGAACATAGTTATTACCTCATCATCATCATCATTATCAACATAGGACCAGGCATTACTGCGTAACGGTCCGAGTTGCCACACCTCATATCAGCACATCCCGACCGATAGCTGCTACCTTGACGTGGTGGTCGGGCTTGCATATCACAATGACCCAACGAGCTATGCTGGTGGAACGCTTGTTCCCTCGAGGTCCTACCATACCAGAAAGGTCTGTTGGATAGTGGTTAGACGAAAAGCAGTTACCGTTATAGTGTAAATTGCTACACTATGATGGGGGTCTGAGGGCGAAGTCGTACTGCTGCTAGCTGGATGGGGTGTGACAGCAGTAAGGTGTTTCCCTTGGATGACCAGCAGTGCCGTGCTGATGCTGCCTTCTCAGTGGAAGGGCGGGGGGTTAGAAAAGGTCGGCCCCAAAAATAACACACTCCACCACGCCCCACGGTCTGCCGGGCCGGCGGTGTTGGTTCACTTGTCGTTTCCTTTCGACCATCCGGCCCCAAAACAACAAAAGTTCAAAATAATCATACTCAAAAGGCTGGGTGTGACAGGCCTCAAGCAGATGTCCGATGGGCTCTGCGGTCACACAAATCTCTTTCAGGTACCTTAAGAAGAAATAGCCTTCCACGGTGTGGGCAGCCGGGAAGTGTCAACCGCCCTCACAACTCTGTCAGCACCCAAGTTATTACCTCTGTTGGTGGCAATAACTATAATCTGACTAATAATAATATTTTGATTTTTTTAAAGCAACCTCAACACTACTCAGTTCGTTCGATAATAAGTCAAATCAGTTAAAGATTAATTCAAGTCATTTATCTCATTCACTTGTTGATGAATATTTTGAATGGCCTAAAGAAACGGAATCGTGTGTTGTTGTTCAATCAACTGGAGTACAGCATCACTATGCCAGTGGTCATTATCATCCAAGGATTATGTGGACTTCATGGGATGATAATGTTTCAGATTTGTCTACATGTTGGAGTCAGTCACCAGTATTTTCTGATTCATTTTCATACTTTATTGGTACAAGTTCAACTGATGAAGGTAATTTTCAACTTGTTTATTCAATCTTTCAATCATTTATAGGGTTTTTATTAGTTTTTTTCTGATTATATGTAGCAGTAGTTGTATGTGTGAATTTGATTTTCTTAAGTATTTTCTGTACCATATATTTTATTGTGTTATTTTTTTTGTATGAAGTCATACCATACGGTTTATAGTGAGTTAGATTTTTCTGACTGAAGAGGAACTAGATGAAGACAGGTGTTGGAATATCAAGGTATTTGGTATAGTTCTTAACACTCATTGATAAGTTGTTTCGATGACTGTTATACTGTACACAAAAAAGTTACTCATGTTTAATGAAGACGGTTGGTTATTGAAGTTAATAAACCAATAAATTCTGTCTGACAAACTTTGGATTGATTAGTTAATGCTAACTTTAGTGACTTTGATGCAGAGTTTCAGTTGTATAAATACTGCGGACACTGAAGTAGTGCTTCAAATACTTTAGTGTACTTTTTTTCAGATGTGAAGTTGAGTTCTGTAGACACAACTTCATACTGAAGTTAGTAATGATGATGTCTAGAAACACGATGAAAGCTCCACGATTAAACAACCTAGCTCATAGAACACAATACAACCAAGAAAGGTGGATTCTTTGAGAAATATTTCGCATTACTGTAAATTATGAACTCCCTCTCTAATTTTATTCAGTTTCCGCTAAGTTAAAATCTAAGTATTGAAATGAGAAGGGAAATGAAATTGAGTTACCATATTTATGTGTGATTATTTTTACAACGGTAGATAAGCAGCATATTGCTACTAATGTGCCTGACGTGAAATTTGGATATAATCATCCCGAAGGTTATGAATAGCTTACCAATATGACGTTTATTCAGATGTGACCGTGTAAAATGGCCTTGGTTAGCAGGGGGCATGATTGAAGGTGACACAAATACCTTGGTCGCAGCCGAATTAAAATCAACGATCTCTTCACTATCGTACTAGTGTTCTATAGGCTAAGCTAGAAATCCAACTGTTGGCCAGATTTCAATGCCATTTCACTTTATACAGCTGCTTTCTGAATTACAAATGAAAAAAAACTCACGTACTTTGCAAGCATTTAGGCAGATTCTGAAGGGAATCTAACGAAATACCGCTTGATGTAATTTTTTCGTACCAAAAATCAAATGGTAAATATTGTTTTGCGTTTTTTTTCGCCTTACTTTGCAATCCAAATTCACAGCAATGAGTCGTTTATCTGAAGAAACTCAAGCATTCGCTGAATCATTTTTAAAAGAATCATCATCTAACGTACCGTTTATATATTCACAATCTTTTCTGTCATCCCAATCAAAAACTGCTGGTAATATTCACTGGACAGATTGGTCGCATGAATTTAAAATGAATGATGTAAACGAGGATAAATTTATTCTACATAACTTTGATCCTTACTTAAACTTGCTGGATGCAGTCAATAAAACTGATGATGGTAATAATCCTATCAGTGAAGATTATTTACTTCATACAAATTCATCTGAGTGAGTCAGTTGTCGTCGATTTTATCTTTGTTATGTCTTGAATGTGTTTCACTATTCTATATCAACGCCCTGATTGATAGATTGCCCTGAATTAACCCTAGATATGTTTCTCAGTCAATCGATGAGACGCACGAGCAACAGTTGTGTTTACTGCAGAAAATTAGTTACATCACCGAAATAACGTTGACTAAAAAGCAGGAACTGGTAGTATTACAAGTAGAGCATCGGGTCGGAAACCCCGGTGGTTGCTGGTTCGATTCCGAAAGGGGTCCACCTTCAATCATTACCCAGTATAAATATCACAGGTGTCTGTTACTGAGTCTAGACTAGATAGACTAGATAAGGCTCACATATTCTCTTCAGTAACTAACTCTGACATTTTGTATAACATCCTATAAAAAGGAAGCGAATATCATAGTTGGCTTTTTTCACACAAACACTTGTTTCTTCACACCATCGACTTACACACCTTTGAAATCGTATGGTAATCACTTGTATTTGAGTAGTTGATTAGCATTACAATGAGAAAAATCGAAGTCTACTCAGTAACTACATGCATGCAATGTCTAACCTATTGTGGAGGTTAATGATACTACCTAGCTACCTAAACATCATTAGGTGGAGCTAGGTTCAAACCCATGATCCATCAGTTGGAAATTAGGTGCCTAGGCCAATGAGCTACATCTTCACTATTGCGATGAGTATACTACAGTATGGTACGCCAACTTACTTATGGTTTTCTTTGACTATCGTTCTATTAATTTGGTAGGTGAGTAAAAAAGTAGCTACTGCATTGTAGTATGTATACATACGTGTGATTAGCATAGAACGTGGTATAGTCGCATGCCCATCAAATTTTTTGAAGCTTTATTGTACGCACATCATAAAAAATCAACAGGGGATAATATAAAATAGTGGAAATAGCTGTCGTAATCGTCGAAACAACTAAAAAGTATATAAGATTTAGATGAACACACGATATGGATGTTTCTGCATTTTTAAGGTCAATTTTGTGCTCTAAGTCAGCAATTCTCAACGTGCCTCAGACATACGTGCAGTATTAGAATAGATCATGAGATTTACGTTTATTCATGTAAGCGTAAGACTTGGTTGTGAGTAATGATTTGAATATGAAGGTTTTTTATATACACTGGAGTATTAACTATCATTTTGTTCTCGTTTCATTTTGCAGTCCAACATAGCTGGATCTCTTTCCCATTACTTCCTAATTTATAGGTAAATTGGATTGATTTCAATACTGAATTTGTGCGTAAAGAGCTCGTGTATGTGCTCCGATTTCAACACTGTAAAGGTGTCATCTATATATCTAAACCATATTTTTGAAGCAGGACTAAATATTTCAAAGGCTACCCACTTGAATACCTGCTTATGAGTCACTGACTGAATTTAATAGAAGATAAGATAATAAGCCTTTGCTAGTAGTCTATTTTATTTACAACTCATGTGTTTATACATCTGAATAACAAGTTCACAATAAAACTGTTTGTACTTTAAAAATGGGTAATATACTTCGCAGGAAAACTGTAGGATAGAGAGGATTGTGCAGATTTTTGGACCAACCTCTTGTTGTAGCAATAGGAAAGGCTGTATCAGCATGGCCTTCTGGTCGTCTGCGGGAAACATCTTGCTGCTGTCATACCTCAGCCAGCCAACAGTATAAATTCGTCCTCTGACTCGCATCACATCATGAGTGGTTTGCAATATGATGGCAACTATTTTTAGTCTTGCCACTACACCTTCCTGGCATAGTAGAGCCTCAAGAAAAAGAAGTTCCTACTAGCATAGCTCGTCATCATTCTGCTTTGCAAGCCCGCGTACTATATTCAGGTAGCAGATACTCGTTGGGATTTCTCGATACCTGCGTTAAAGTAAGTGTTTTTACGTGTGGTAAGAGCGTATAAGGTTAATATTAAGCTTACATATGCAACTAGTTGTGCCTTGTCTTTTTGTTCAACGTCCGAACGACAATAGAGAAAACTAGTCATAGGATATACTGACCAGATGAAATAGTATATATATATATATATATATATATATATATATATATATATATATATATATATATATATATATATATATATATAATCAGCAGTAGAAGCAGAATAAAGCCATGGTCAAATAGGTCACTTAAATTATCTCTGGTGGCTCGTCTAAAAACAATCAAAAAGAATTATATTTTTTGAACTTTCACTTTTTTAGATATTTGTCTTCAGACAGAGGTGTTGGACACGATTATCAACAATCAGATTATTATTATGTGAACAAGAATACAATAGAAGCGGCATTGAATGCTACATTGCCCATCATTTATTCAGTACTTCTACGTAATAATTATCAACTAGCTGGCTGTACTACAATACAATCACCGTCCGTTAATTCACCAAGTCGAAATGATATTTCAGCGACAGACAATTCATTAATTGTACAGACATTTCTTAACGCTGTCTATGCAGCAAGTAGTCAGCATCTTGATGAAATGAATCAGTCCTATTGTTGCACTAATTCGATTGATATGCTAGAAACTACAAATGTACCTACCACTGCCTCACATGAAGACGATATGAAGCTACCACCATTTCCATCAGAATCAGTATCATTCAAAGAAACCTTCAGTTATGACTATCATGGAGATGATAACATTGAGAATATGTTTACTGGCAAGAAACGTAATTTTTATGAATTATTGCAAATGACAGAAGCTAGACGTTTATCTGTATTGAGCTATGAAGCAATTAAGTTAGAAAATTTCACTGAAGAAATGAAGGCAAATTATGCGTATCTCGATTTGGTACCGAATCCATTAGAAAATCTAAAAGTTAACAAAGTGAACGATAATAAAATGACGTCTTCATGGAAATCTATTTTGGACATACCACAGTCTGAATTATTCGAAGAAGTTGGAGTGAGTTTAATCTCTGTGGGCATGCTATGTTTTTTCATTGTGGAGCTGTTACTTACTGTTCTAGGCACTTGACTCCCAACCAGTGGATCACGCTTTCGAACCCCTATCCGTCTATTTAAGTTTGGACAGCAGGGTAGTATCATTAGCCCTCACACAATAGGTGTGGCTCATTATCTACTACACAAGGGTGTGTGTAGTTGCTGAGGGCATTTTGATATTCCTTGTGGTTATATTCGGTAAAGTATCCATGGGAATCTTGACTGTGTTCACTGCTGTTGTAAGAGTATTGTCTCACGTTTTACTTGTATACTCAGTCCTGGTGGTTTATCCAACTCAGCAAATGCGATAGATTGGTGTGCGGAATGTTTCAAAACTGATTACACATGAACCTTTTTCCGTCGAAAAATCACCACCATTTTTTATAGCAGTGTGTCCAACTGAACTTTTTGTGAAATAAACAAAAAAAACTGATTACCAAGCCGGAACACCCTTTCACTATTGCGCTAGAATATAATCGGTCAAATGAATTTCTCCGATTCTTATCCCAATAGAAATCATGACAATATGTAAATATATGTTATTTGTCTTATTGTCCTCTATGTGATTGTTGTTTACGGCATAACGCAATGTTATTCTGATTTTATTATGGCTGATATAGGCAAGTTTAATCGTTTCAATCAGTTGAAGACAAACAAAAATGGAATAAGTTGGACATCTTAAAGACTTAAAAGTTTTGTCTGTAGACGATTGGTATATGAAAAGTCCTGGTTGACAAAAGTGAACACAAAAGTGGTTTTACTCGTGCAAATTTATGCAAAACTGTGAAATTTTGATCTCTGCTACCTGCAACTGTTTGTTTTTTAACGTAATCAATAAATATGATGTACTGCCATCCAGCAACTGGATGAAGGATATTTGATATCAGTAAATCATTTTGACTGAGGAAACGAGAAGGGAGTCAACATGCATCGGTCTGATCTCTGGAGGTAATAACACTTGCGATTATTTGTTCTCAATGGAAGCGAGTTGAAAACTAGGAACAAGTACGGCGAATTTGTAGAGGAATACTTAGATTTCTAATGCACAAGTGAAAAAGTACTGACTATCATTATCTGGAAAGTATCTATAACGTAATTCTGTGATAAATCTTCACACAAAATGATCAAGTAATATTTTTGTTCGCATCACTTAGCTGCATTATGCATCGTGTTACATGAGTATCCTCGTTTCCACTTTATAACTCAAAATGTAAATAATACATTAGGGAGCATGATAAATGCTTTAAATAAAACAATATTACTGATGAGAAAGAAGCAAACAGTCATCTATAATGACCGTTAAAGTGATTTTAATTACTCTTCCTTCCATATATTTTTTATTTTGTGGAAAAAAAATATGCTACAGTGAGAGAAAATAATTGCTTTACTTTGAACGATATCTACCAGTTCATTTTACCACTAAATGCTACTGTTTTTCGAGTTCCATTCAGGAATGAATTGATGAATCGCTACCACCAGATACATCTACTTTTTCTATCCTCTTTTACAACCAGGAAAAGGTTTGTGATATAGAAGGCTTTTTGTTAGGTTACGTAAAAACCCTCCCAAGTGTCCATTTTACCGAAATTCTTGCCATCAGACCTCGGTACTATGTGAAAGGGCTTGCATAGTGCAAGCAGTGCTACCAAAATTCAACAAAGAAATAAATAACATTAGACCTGGCACAATCGTCTACCACTTTAGGTGTCCATATCACCACGTTGATGTAGAAGTACCAAAAGGCAGAAAAAAATATCAAATTTGATGAGACTTCTAGATAGTACGTGAAAGGAAACAGAGAAAAATTATATGGGAACAGATTAAGCGAACCCACGGATGAGCCGGCACCACGTCAACAGATGGTACCATTATTACATCATTTCTCGGGCAATCAATTTCAACTCCTTTACAGGTCTAAGTCTCAAAATTTGTTAGAAACTCTGCAGATTGTTGCAAAGCCGTTCATTGATCACTTTGAACATCACTTCAGCTGCTCAATATGCGTAACACATACCTCAGTTGGCGAATTTTTACGACCCCATTAATAAAAGTCATTCACAGGCAATTCTTTGAGAGCGTCATCGGTCAGATGTCTATAGCTTGGACATATCTTTCTCGTTCAGTAATTGTATCTCACAACTCGATAATACTATGCAGCGCGCTACGGGTATATATACCATGTGTTGTGTGGATTTGATAAGTCAGTCGTATTCCTATCGATGACGCAACTTTCTTGGATAACTAAAGTGGTGAACACAGAAACACTCGATTTACCATGCTGGTACAGACTTATTCTAAAATTTCTTTTTTAATTTTTTGGCTGTGTAGGAGAAAAATATGTCAAACATTGTCACTAAAGTTTTTCAAAAGATTTTATTCTATCGGTTTCTTCACATGACAGAATTGCTTCCCACATACTATAAGAGTATCTTTGGTTGTGATTAATCCTCGACAAAACGGAAATATAGAAGTAGGTAGAGAGTTAGTATTCTTGGCAAACCTCACTTCAGATGACAGCTCACAGTGAGCACTTTCGGTTTTGTTTTCCTGGTTATGTTTAGAGAGAAGTAAATGTCAGTTTGCATGACTGAATTCTATTCTCTTTGTATTAACCAACAGAGGACGGGTAGAACACTTAAGTAGCAAATAAAATACTGCGTAGCATCAACGCCTTACATTGTTATTCTAATCTTTTTGCTTTTAGCTATCTGCTATATCAACTAGTTACACATATCCTGAAATACTACTCGAAGATTCATCTGTTATTACTCCATGGAATATTTTTGGAAAATCTACCAACAGAACAAATGATGCTGATGATAATCAAGATATTCCATTGAGTTTTGAAAGTAACTCAACTTTTACTGCTACTGATGCAACAATCACTACCACCGCTTCCAATAATTCCAAGGTGATTGAATGAAACAACATTCAGTTCCAAGACAAAAAGAGGAAGCGTTTTCATCACGCAAAATAGATTATTTTTTATCAACACAAGATTTACTCTTCTCTTTTTACTATTGAACCGAATTTTATTAAGATTTATATTCTTGTTACTGATCTTTGTCTAGTTTCCAACTTCTTATCTTCCAAGCATACTTCTTTACCGTGATGGCGTAGTTTTTCAAGTTGCTCTTTCGTTTTTTAATCTTTCCCCTCGGTATTATCTACCTGTGTATTTCTGTTTGACGGGAGGAATGACTTGAATTGTCTGCGCAGAAGAAAAGCAGAAATAATAATTGTTTTTATAAAACATAAAAAGCTTTTTTGATGTCGGAATTGCGTTAATTATCACAGCAGTCTTGTAGATATTCGAGTAATTTCTGCTAGCACCTTTGAGTACCGGTAGGATGAAGATAGCTTACCTTGCCAACACATCTATCAGTGGACCTCAGACACTCAACTGTCAACTGAAATTCACTGTAGTCTAAACAATATCATAAGTTGTCGCACATTAAGTGCAGAGCGTCTGAGCTTTTTATTTTATTTCTAAAAATTATGTCTCATGCTGTTGTTAACCATCGGTATCAAACATCTTTAATGGTCCCTCGAAATACTCCTTACAATGCATCTGTTGTAAGTGATTATTTTGTTTTTCTCTTGATTTCTTCACATCTTCGGTATAGGTAATATAGTAATGAATACCCCTCAGTACTGAGACACACACACAGAAATGTGATGTCGGTTCCAAAGAGGGATGCCGGAAATACTAACAGTGAATATGAGATACCAACGCGTTAACAGTTAAGTCAGTTGTTATAATCTGCGACTTTGAGGGTTAATCAAATATCTTAAAGTAAACCATTCCTTGGGTAGATATTCATTTTGCATAAGTATCTGTCGAAAGTTATTCAACTCACTGTCGACTGTGTAGATTCACTATGATAATGAATTACATTCCTTTCTGCTCAGTGGCGTCTAGCTATGAAGAAATGCATGCTGCTGCTCTGTATTAGCTTTCAGGAGACCGACCACCGAAGCACATCGACTAGCTCCCTTGCAAACAAAACATTTAAGAAATGAAATGCCGAGTTATCCTCAAATACTGACAAGGTTGGATGAATAATCACAATCAGGTAAGTTCTCAATCATGACCCTGATGACCGAATTGTCGCCACATAATAAAACATAACAACGTAGAAAACTAACTAATGTTCATTCAAAATACTATTCTTAAGCCAACTTGAGTCACCTAACTTATTCGAAGCGAGATGCCTTCCTTGGTCACTGAAAGTGAAGCATCAGAAAATTAAACAGGAAATAATATATAACATTCACAAGCGTCTGTCACACAGACAAAGCCATGTCCCCGACATAACAAGCAAATGCAACACTCTTAAAAAAGTACCTCACAAGCAACCGACCAGAGCACGACACAAAATGTCAACAAACCACCCACGTAACAGAAAAGCAGCAGAAAAAGAGAAAATCTTCGAAAACCCACCAAACCGCATAACACCACATACAGAACAGAGTGAATAATCAAACAAACAGTTGAACCCATGAAGTCCAGTAGGCACGACTGTTACTCTGATTGGTGACTCGCCTAACTTGCAAGTACTGACAACGAAGACAAGTAAGATGACACTTTCGGTTGTTCTGAACTCCACAGAAGAGCAATATATTAAGCAGTTAAACTGAGGGATTATCTTGAGGAAATAGAGAGAATTTATCTGGTTGCACACGACTGAACTAAGGAATCAGAACGTTTGCGGATCGACACAGTGGAAGTACAGTTGGTGGTTAACCATGCGTCGATGCTCACTCGATAAAACAGGTCTTAAAAGAGTTTGCGCACTAGTCGAGGACCTGGTGAATTACCCTAATTGGTACCCCAATAGCTTAAAGCTAGATTTTTTTCTCTGACTGACAAGGTGCACAGATGTCTTAACACAAGTCAACTTACTGGCATAGCACATTGAAACACCAATCGGACCTGACTAGCATTCAGCCTCTGGTATATGCGACCAACACTTCCAGCAACACCTAGCCGTGAATCTATCTCAGATCGATAATTGGTCGCCATACTGAGTGAAACCGGTCTGCTTGTGTCAACCTGTTTAAAACAACGGCGTCACTATCCCATCGAAAATCGGGACAACACAAGGTGCCCCATGACCGGCAGTCTTGTGCGCACCCATTTCACTGACAGCGGATTGAAGTTGAATCTATGCTTAAATGACAGACAGAGGACGCCGGATGGAATGTGAAGGATGGCTATTTCGGAAGTTAGGCTGGATAGAAACAGGCTATAATCTGTGCAAAGCTACAGAAGCCAGCCCGTGTCATCCAACTGTCCCCCTATTGAACACAACCTACAGTTTAGGGCCAGATACTTGACCTGTACACCAACGTTCACAGTTAGCACCGTGATATGTGGGGCGTGGGCGGTCGAGATCACTCAGTCGGTGATAAGATTCATCATTCGTTGCATCCGGGTTGCAGCTCATCGAAGTGTATCCAGGAATGATAGTTGGTTGTTGCTCCAAGCCGATCTTCTAGTCTCATAACACATACTCGAGTGCCAATACTGTCAAATAGTCAAGTCCTCGAACCGTAAAATGAAGACACATATGTATATATGCACTAGACTATATTTCCTAGGAAATGGCTGATTTCAACCAACCGAGTGGAATGAAACAACAAAATCACACACATTTTGGCATCAATATCGGTTGTATTATGGTTTGTTAACGTTTAATCTGATATTTTATGCTGTAAAGTGGCTGTTTTCATTGCTTCAATGTAATAGATTCCTCAATAATTCCTTCACCCAAAACTTTGACCTGATTGAAATGGTTGTAAGCAGATAACGAATTTTGCATGCATACCTCTTCCATGACTTTCGATGGATATGATACTCCATACAACTGTGAATTGGTAAAACAATGTGAAAGACACTCCAGTCGTTCGGGTTGCATTTTATTGAAGTTCTTCTCTAGAAACCGTCGTCTTACACGCCATTCAGTAGGAGTTTCATGCGGTCTCTTCCAGCTGTCGAAATTCTCCTCTGGCGATTTATTGAACCCAGGCTAGGTAAAATGAACAATAAAAACTTCATCTTCATTATTTGGTAATTTATATGATTGGATTCTAAATCTATGCAAAGTCAGCAAGAGCACTCGGCAGAGGTCACGTCAATGATGATAGTAGATGAAGTCCAAGTGAAAAGGTCCACAAATATCAGAAGTCTGAGTAAACGCCGATGTAGTTGCCAAAGTGATTCATTCCTGCCAACTTGCTATGAATTAATATTTTTCCAAGTCCGAATTTCCATCGTGATCTAAATTGACAGACTAGACTAGACTTATTAAGAAAAGCCAGGGTGAGTATCGAATGCGAGTTCAAACGCTCGAGAATATCAGCTGTTCTGATAATTTGACTGAAAAGCTCGACTATTAATCAAGTTACAGTCTCGCTTCAACGATTCAGTGTTGGGTAGTCCCCAAAGCTTTGACTCAGTAGCTTAGGCTTTGGACTTCCAAATACTACGTCATAGGTTCCCGCTTAGGGATTATGCTACTCCCACCAAGGAAAGACAACTTTTTGAACGGTTTTAGACACGGCAAACAAAGTGCCCAGGCTTAGACATAAAGCATATGCAGTTCACCTAAACATTGTACAACTCCGACCAGTATATTGTAGACAGATAACGTCACCGTGAACTACACTCAAGACATCTGATGGCTGAGTATGAAAGGACTTGCACGGCGATGAAAGCAAACGCTTTTGTGTCGAATCTGTTAAAAAAAGGGCTGTACTTCTGAATTATTGGTAGTCCTACCGTCAAATGGGGGCACTGAACAAGCATGTTTTTGGTGCATGTTGTTTACTGCTAGAATCTGCCCATAAAGCTGTACTTCGTTGGTTTGAGCAATTGGCTGCCAACTAGTGGGTCTCTGGTTCAAACCTCCACTTCTGATACCAGCTTGGGCGGCTGAGTGGCGCCACTAATTTCAGCAAAATCTATGGTTTATTGTCTAGAGCACAAAGTTACGAATGGATTTTAAGCTAAATACAGTCAGATTCTGGTGAATGCCTAAGAGTTAATCCTGATTGATGAATTGCCTCACTTGCCTTGACATCTTAGTGACATCAAGTAGGAACGTAAATAGTATATCTTAGAACAATTTCTAGTAGCACGGATACAAAACCCAAAAGAACTTCTATCTCACCATTAGTGCAACACGAAGACCTGAAGTATATTAAAGGTATGAGCATGTGACATCCAGCATTGATAGTGCGAGTGTAGAAAACTGATAGTTTTTAACCTCTCGCATCTAGTTCTTAGGGTTTGGTCCGAGTTGTTCGGTTCGCTCCGTCAGTGGACAAGGAAATCTCTTCTGCTTTCTTGCTTTTAGCTTCGGTGGGATGATCGTCGAGAAACTAGTAGCTTGGACTAAGCATACAAGTTAAAACAATTAAACAAGCCAAAACACCACATTATCAAGCAATCAGACAATGAAGTGCTTGTTTGTACATCGACAATTTCAATGGGTTTGTATTCAGCATGACTGCTTTCTAGGCAAACAACGAGGCTCAAACAGCACTCATGCTAGTGTGGCAACATCTCCATCAGTTTTAAAGCGACATCCTTCAGACTTGACCACATTTGACAACTGGAAGATAGATTTGATAGACGAATGTAAGGTTAGCAAAAACTTACATATCAATTGATATGATGTTAACGTCATTTTGAGTGTCATGAACGTTGATACGATCACTTAACGCGGCACTACAGAAGGAAGACCGAACAACAAACACCAAAACCCAAGATATGGGTGTGACAGGTCAAAAGCCACCAGTATCCTACACCCACAGCTCTGAGTTTGGATGCTGAACACTCAGAAAAAGTCGAATATCAAGTGCAATGCAAAGCACTGCTTCCAGTGCCAGGCGACAGATGTTAGCATCAAGAATACCCGGCGAAGAGTGCATTTATCAAATGCAAAAAGCACACAAGATAACCCGATACAAACAACAGCAATGTAAGTAAATAAACAAGATACCATGTGAAGAGAAATGGCCTTGACGAATTAAAAATCCCTCAGTCGGCCTTCAGTCTGATATTCAAATATTTGTGTTGCAATGGTAGCGAACTAGAGGTTCTTTGGTTGCATTTCCGTGGTATTGGAAGTGAGTCCCACATGGGCTGTTCCGTTCCTGTCTACTTCCTACCAGGTTCAAAGAGAAACAAGAATCGGACACGCAAATACTAGAGGTTACAAGCACCGTTTGATTGAGTTTGGATCATCAGAAAAACCTCGCCGAATATTATAAAACAGTGAGGGGTGGCGAAACTGAACACGGCTGAGTCCTGCTTTTGTGGGACTTGAAGTGGAGTCGCGATATACAGAGGATAATTGATCGTGGTTGACCATTGAGATGGGGAACCATTGAGAGCTGAAGACAGAACGAACGCGCCAAAACGCTGTATCAGCTCTACTATTCGCAAAGTGGCTACCTACCCTCAGCTTGAAGACGCATCGAGAAGAAGCCGTAGCCCAGTCGTCGAAAAAACAATACATAGATTATTGAGAACCTCTCTGTATGGTTCGGCTCGACACACGGTTGAACCCATGAAGTCCAGTAGGCACGACTGTTACTCTGATTGGTGACTCGCCTAACTTGCATTTACTGTCAGCCATCTCTTTCAGCTGTGGATATTCTCTCCTGGTGCTTCAATCTTTTCTTCATCTCATGCTGGATTAAATTATTCATGATTTTTGAGTCTTTTCTTTGCATTCTGGATTTATTCTTTGGTTTTCCATGCGCGTCGTTTGAAATATACAATCGTCATTCGCATTTGGTATTCTTATTCGTTTGTTTGCCACCTTGTATGGAATCTTGTTTCTCACGCTAATTTATGAATTTTTCTTTCTTCTTGTGGTTTTTCAACATCCAGCCGCTAAATTCTTATTAGTGTGGATAAACATTGGGAAAGTCATGGAAGTGGATTGGGTTCTTTTGCAAATGTTCCTTAAACGAAGCAGTTGTTTATTTCTGGTAATGCGCTTTGTCATAAAGAGTAGAATTTTTCCTGTTGTTGTGTAGTTTTCGCTTCGTATGTTGTATGTATTTCTTGCATGTTAATATTCTTTTTACCGAGTGCTAGATTTATTTCGGTTCCTTCACTTGCTTATTGTCGTCTTCGCTTTTAACACTGATTTCTTCACTCATGTTCCACCGGAGGATAGCCATGCTTTCTTGTGGAATGATTTCTTTTTGGAAATACTTAACTTTGAGAATCTGGATGTATAGGTTTTTTTTCTGTGGTGACCATGCTAATTCAAGCAATGTTGAAGACTTTGGGAATTGAACGAAAAATTTTTTGCGTGCGTCATCCTTTCTTGTCCTGCTTTGCCAGTCTCATAGTTTGTGTATAGTGATATTTGGTCCGGGGCTTAGTTTTTGTTCAGCACGCGCGTTTCTTGAATTCCGGCATGTTTTCTCTCGGCTCTTTTCTCCTCGGGAATAACCCCATGCAGGCCTGTGAATTCGGGACCTTCATCTACGAAACCAAAACCCTCATGCCGGTTATCTTACGCGGTCATACATCCTGCACCGCTGGGGAGCTTCTGGTGTCATTCTGAGTCGCACAACTAAAAAATCGGGGGGGGGGTCGAAAACGCTCCAGATATTATAGGTTTTCTTCATCTTACTTGACCCGGGCATTTTTAGTTTGCTTTTTCTCCTATCTACTTATCGCAACGCGTAACAACAACATTTTAGTTAAATCTGGTCCCCAAAGCACCTCGGTCGAAACCTGACCTTGGTCATCGACCACCTTTCTCTTGGTATTGACTCAGGCTGCAGGTAAATGGGGTAAAGCCATCTCGAAAGGCCATGGTGAAACCTCAGTAGAATAGTCATGCATACCAATTTCTGGAACCAGCCAAGTCTCTGTCCCGTGCAAATTTCTGAACCCATCTAGCCTCGTTCAGCGAAGATCACGTCTTAATGGTACGCGCTGTCCTAACTCTAGCGTTGTCTGCAAAGGCTTCCAAAGGGAGACGGCACAGAGGGGAAGGAAGGTCCGTAGCTTAGCCGTCTGGGCATGGTGACGACTGCCAAACACGTGGTCTCACCGCAGTCCATTTGCTCCAGGGACATAGAGCAGTTTTCCATTCTTGTAGCCAACCCCGACATTGCCTCATCATCGTTTTGTTCTATGTTCTAGCACTCCATCAGATCCTGAAGTAAGGCCCGGCTGAATTCATGAGTCCTTCCAAACAAACGTTTGAGTATATCCCGAGCTCTACGGTAACCAGCAGATGGTGGTAACATAATGCATTCCTCTATAGTCTCCCTGGCCTTACCTTTACAGTAATGTAACAAGTACAACAGCCTCTGTTCATCATCATCAACCTTACGGACAACGTAGAACTCAAACTGCCTCATAAACCTCCAATATTTGGCTGGATGTCCTTCAAAGCTGCTTAATTCCACTTTCGGTAACTCATGACCGACATTGACACAAGGCAAAGTAGCGGTAACCCCTTTGTTTCCTGCGCTGCCCACCTGGCTAGTCGTTTCACGATCAAGACTGCTATGAGGGTCAGTGCCAAGACAAACTGATTTGTGACACTTTATATCATCATCTAAAGAAAAGGTATCACCTAAATCCCTATTCACATTTAAGTTCAGGTCTTTACGCAGACGCAACCTCTCCTGTCCTTGTTTAGCCTTGAATTCACGAAGTTCCAACTCTTGCCTTTCATCCAACTGTCGTACATCCAATTGAGCAGAGGTCCCGCAAGGACTATTCTTACCATATTCAATAACTGTACCATTATCAGAGCCACGGCATGAAATAACATCAAGAGGGACTTGCTTGATATCTGAGGTTGAATCCATGGACATGTCACCTTCTCCGTCCAGGATAGACTCAAGGAACCCCTTGGGCTTGCCAGTTACTGCAGTGAAGGGTTGTTGAGTACTGTAGCGGCCAGAATCCAATAATTTTGGCCTGAACGCGCGAAATAACTAGGCGGTGCCAACTGACGTGAATCCGACTGGTTCCTGCGTTCTACTGTATAGCTTCCTAACTTCCGCGAATGACGCACAGTCAAAGGTCGGGTCAAAATATCAAAACACGGTTTGTAGTAATTCAATAGTAGATTCGTAACAAAATCTGTGGTACTATCAAAGCAACAATGAGTTTTATTAAAATTACAAGATACCTCAACAGTGCCGTTGGGTAACCACAATCTAAACGTTCTCGGGCGCAAATACTTTCTATATGGCGAAATTGGTTAAACAAACAAAATTGTTAGGTACCTGAGAGTCATTAAGAATATTCCCGACAAAGGGGATCAAAACTCTGTCTACCATGATCAACTCAACAGATAAGCGTTTCCGGTAGACAGCCAAAAGACAAACAGTAAATCACAGTACAACCGTGAGTTGAACCAAGACAAAATGTTGGGCGCAGTAAAATAACGTCACGTTGTCAACAGTCCAGCGCCACATAATAGGAAAGTGAAACATTCATATACAAAAGCAACTACCGAACGCAAAGTCAAATAAGGCAGTCAAACAAGCAAATAACATTACACCGGCTAGGGTCAAAGGTACACCATCCATAACGGGGATGAAAATGTTAAAATAAATGTCAATACAATCAAATAAGGGTGATCGGGAGGGATTTTCAGATCATTTTTCCTTTACACCGGCCACCAAAATCCCTCCAGACACGCAAAACACCTCTGTGTATTCAGCCGTGGCTCTATCTACCTAGCTGTCTGCATACTCTATCTTTCTTCTACTCCCTCAAGAAGACAAAGCTTTCTTATATCTCTTCTCACGGTACCTTCCTTCATACGCACCATCACAGTTCTTACTAAATCGTCTTCGTCCTTCTCGCATGTTTCGATCACTCCCAAAGGCCAGGAACCACGTGGTGTTTTTTCAGAGGCCACAATCACCACATCTCCCTCCTTGAAATTTCTTTTCCTTCCCAACCACTTCTGACGAGTTTGCAAGCATGGTAGATACTCTTTCATCCATCGGCGCCAAAATACGTCAGCTAAGTAATTAACTTGTTTCCAACGTCTGACGTAATTATCGGCAATAGTGCCCTCCACGACTATTCCTCCACTATCTCTCAATAACAATAAGCTATTGGGAGTGAGAGCTAACTCGTCTTTTGGGTCGGTCGTCATGGGAACAATAGGACGATTGTTCAAAATTCTTTCTATTTCCACGAAGTAGGTGGCTAATGTATCATCATGCAGAGTCTGCTCTTTGGATATGACCATCAATAACCTGCGTACAGAACGTATCATCCTTTCCCATATCCCACCTCGATGACTCGCTTGCGGGGGGTTGAAACTCCATCGTATCCCCTTTGACACCATGGCATCATTGATTCGTCGTCTATCCCACACACTCACCAGTTGTCTTAGTTCCGAAATCGCTCCAACAAAGTTGGAACCATTATCACTGTATATCTCTGCAGGTGTTCCTCTTCTTCCTATGAACCTCATTACAGCCATTATAAAGGCGTCGGTGCCTAGGTTGAAAGCTACCTCTAAATGTATGGCTCGCGTCTGGAGACAAGTAAACACACACCCGTACCTCTTTTCCTCTCTCCTTCCCTGGCGAACCATGAGTGGTCCAAAATAATCAATTCCCACTGACGAGAAGCAAAACCATCCTTTCTGCACGCGACAGACCGGTAAAGGGGCCATCATCTGCTGACCCAGTGCAGCTTTCAATCGTCGGCACTCTATGCACTTTCTTATCACCCGTTTGACCGCACTGATCCCCTTAATTATCCAATAGTTTCTTCGTAGAGTGGCCAGGACTTGCGAAGTACCAGTATGTCCTTCTATAATATGATAATGCCTTATGATCAGCTCAGTCACGAAGTGATGTCTGGGGAGGATAACCGGATGCTTAAAAGTAAGTGGGTAGTCGGAATAGTTCAACCTCCCACCGACGCAGACCAATCCATACACAAGTATAGGTGACAACCTTTGCAATTCACCTTCTTCAGTCTCACAACTAC